TGACTTGTGCATCCACGCTCTTCAAGCCCTCACTGTGGCTCTCTATCCAGGTAAGTTATGAACCTCAAACTCTTTATAATCTTCATGAAACACATCAAACTGAACTCTTTCAATATGATTTAGTGTATAATAATTTGAAGATAAATTGTTCAAGAATGAGTTAAGCTAGAGTGGCCCAACTGGTGCCACTTGAGGTTGTTTACACATGTTTGTTGCCTGTTCAAAAGCGACGCGCGTCGCTTTCATCCAAGTCCTCTTGCTCTTCTTCCTCTTCCATCACCACTGCTCTTGAGTGGTTACTCTTTCAATGCCTTCTACTTGCTTACTCATTCTTTTTCTTCTTATATCCATAGGTATGTCTAATCTGGCTCTCAATATATACTGTTTCTAGCTATCCTTCAGTTGTCTGGTTGCTTTTAGAATATAGGCCTAATTGAATGGATATGAGACTGTATGTATTTGTCCTATTCTACTTATGCACAGTCTATCTTACTAACATTCTTTGTATACTTCTTCTAGAGTCTGTATCAAATCCTAGTGAGCAGGTATGAGCCTTTATTTTCTTCTGCCTTCAGCACCTATGTCTCACTTCTTTGTTTTTCTATGTGTGTAGAGATCTCTGGCCTCTTCTTAGATCATTGGTAAGTTTATTCTTCATACTATCTACTCAGGAATAGAATCTGATTCTATGTTCTTCCAACAGGACTTATGTAGGTTAGTAATTGGCAGGGATTTTTTTCATGTAATTTACTGTAGCACAGTGTTGTCATGTATCTGTACCCTACTGTAGTGAATATATAATCTTTCTTTGTCTCCTGATCAGTGTGATGATCCCATAGAAGAAACCCTAATCCAAAACAATATTAGTTGGGTGGAAAATGACTATAGAAGCTCTGAGAGCTCTGAGAGCACTGAGAGCTATAGGAGATATTGCCACTATACATAGGAACAAGAGATCCATAAGTTGCTAACATTGATATGGTAGCTCTCAATGCTCTCCAACAATATCTGTTCTATAGTATCCCTATGAGAAATTTCCTGGTTTGCTGATGTGTACTTGTTTCTATAAGGATCTCGTGGGTCTTTGAGTGAATGAGTTTGGAGTCCCACCCCCTTGCCATTGTAAAATCACTCATTCTCGCTCAATACCGCATACGGTTCTGATGTAGTATCATCAATCGATGTGTCTTGATCCCCTGCATTAGGCCCTGTATTTTGTTTCATGAGAAACGGCCCACTCGTTGTTGAGAATGGCAGTGTTGACCCCGGTGAGTGCCCACTACCCCCTCAAACTGTAAATTTGTCCATTCTCTCTCAAATCACGCATTTTTTTGGAAGTAATGAGCCCAATCGACATGTCTTGAGCTCCTTCATTGGACCCTGCATTTAGTTTGATGAGAAATGGCCCGCTCATCATTAAGAACAGCGGAGTTGACCCTGGTGAGTCCCCATTACCCCTCCAACCGTAAAGATGCTCATTCTCACTCAGTTCGGTACGCGTTTCCGATGTTGCATGGTCAATCAATGTGTTTGGATATTCCGCATCGCCCCCTGTTCTTGGTTTGATGTGATTCGGCCCGCCCGTCGTCGAGAACGACAGTATTGACCTGGTGAGTACCCCTATACCCCCTTCCCCAGCTCATATTTACCACAGTACCCACAGGTACCCCTCAGGTACCTTCAAGATACCCGTAGATTATTTCTATCCATGAGTACCCGCCCATTGGCAAGTACCTGTATCCATGGATATGGATACCCATTCCTACGGATGCCACCCCGGATACAGGTGTGGCCTCTGAGGGCACAGGTACTTGTTCCCACAGATACAGGTACTCGCATGGATATAATCGTAGCATGCCCTGGGCTGATGTGGTGGTTGTGGCAGTAGCGGAGTCAGCGGGCCAGTCTAAAAGGGCTCCTTCTGCAATCGGCTGCATCACGTGGCTAGCCTTCACCAGATTTATATTGACATTCTCGTCCTTGTTAAAGTTATGTGTTGTATCACCCACCAGCTGAATAGGGATGCCTGCACTGCCATAAGACTCTTGGCAGCCTTGAACTTGCTCTACAATCTCTGTGAGACCTTTACTCCTGGTCAATTTTACTCTAGGCTATCTTGAACTCAGACATACAAAAACACTGACTGACGAAGGATGCAAGCAAGTCCCTGCCTTTGTATAGTCCCCCCTGTCAGTGTTATCCCAGGTCTTTGGCAGGATCCCTTGGATTCCCCTGCATGAACACTAAGGAGGATATCAGCAAGCTCTATAGGTAATTGCCCAGCCACACATACCTCTGAGTCTCAATCTCACCGTTCTCATGTGGCGCTGCTATGAATATTGCTACAATAGAGCCGTAACACAGGGATAACACATCGGTGATGGGCTTCAGGAGCTGGTAGGGCTCCTGAAGATCCCTGGAGGATCATATGCTAAGTGAACAGTTGCATGTAACATGTGTTCTAATACTCACCATTTATGTCTTCTCCCTTCTCTACGCACCACCTCAAACCTCTCGTGATATACTCTCATTAATTATGCATGCTCCTCATCAATGTCCACCTGTATTCCCTTATTAAACTCCTCGGAATCCATCTCTAATAACCTCTGTGCTACCTCTATGTGATTGTTCACCATAACCTGAGGTTCCTTCTGATCAGCCGCTACTGCTGCCGCATACATCACCACCCATTCTTTGTCCAATGTGGGCTTGATCCGCTTAAACCAAAACTTGTGCATATAGAATTGGACAAGTTGAGCCTTCCATGGCTGCTCGAGGAGGAGCTTGAGTAATATCTTGAAGTTTGCGGCAATGGAGCCAGGGTCAGGGCATGCTACGATTATATTCGTGGAAACAAGTACCTGTTCCCTCAGAGGCCACACCTGTATCCGGGGTGGCATCCATGGGAACAGGTACTCGCCAATGGGCAGGTACTCATGGATAGAACTAACCTACAGGTATCTTGAAGGTACCCATGGTACTGTGGTAAATATGAGCTGTGGAAGAAGGTGGAGGGGTACTTACTGGAGTAATACCATTGTTCTCAACAACGAGTGGGCCAAATTACATCTGAGTCAAACCAAGTACAGTGGGCAATAAGGAATATCAATATGCAACGATCGACTCCGCAATATTGGAAAGGTATGCATAATTGAGTGAGAACAAACATATTTACGAAAGAAGGAAGCAGGTGGTACTCACCAGGTCAATACCGTTGTTCTCAATAACGGGTGGGCTGAATCACATTAAACCAAGTACAGCAGACAATGTGGAGCATCAATACATGTTGATCGACCCTATAACATTGGAAACGTACACAGAATTGAGTGAGAACGAGCAGATTTACAATATAAGGTAACAGGGGGTACTCACCAGGTCAATGTCATTGGTCTCGACGACGGGTGGGCCAATTTACGTCAAACAAAGTATAGGGGGCGATGAAGGACATTAATACGCATCAATCGACCCCGCAATGTTGGACAAGTACGTGAAATTGAGTGAGAACAAACAAATTTATGATAGAAGTTAGCAGGGGGTACTTACCAGATCAATGTCATCGAGAACAACGACACGTGGGCCAAATCATGTCAAACAAAGTACAGAGGACGATGGAGGACATTAAACCGCATCGATTGACCCCACAACATTATAAATGTACGCGAAATTGAGTGAGAACGGATGAATTTATGATAAGAGTGGGAGGGAGCATCACTGAACGCACATCTGGCCTCCGGCAAATTCCGACGCGATATAGCAGGTACTCTCCCACGAGTACCTGTGGGACCTGAAGCACTACCTGTATCTGTGCAGCCACCCGTGGGAACAAGTATCTGTATCCACGGATATAGGTACCTGATGGTGTGCCTTACAAGTATCCGTTGCAGGTACTCACGGGTCCTGGTACTCATGGCATGCCCGGTGGCTTGGTCAACTATGTTCTTTCTGGCACTGAATTTGAGGGGTCCGATAAAGACTCGTACTCTCCTTCCAAAGTTGACAGTGCTGATGAGGACTGAGTCTGAGTAGAGGATTTGGGAGGATGGAAAGATGAGGACACGATTAATGTTCGATTTCAGAAGGAGTTAAAGCACAAGCTGAACCAGCTTGTTATGCTTACCACATGGGAGTTTCTGGCTGAGTGCAGGTGTTCCGCCACGAAGGACAATTGGGAGGCTGCAGAAAAGAATCTGAAGTTGCGGGGAGTGTATCAGGTGTAGCTGTACCACCTTTATAAAGAGTTCTTATACTAAGCATGGAGCTCTTTACAAAGAGTGCAGTACTCATGGCCACAATACGTCTTTATCCACAGTCACATGCAGTCCATGTTTGGGTTCAGTGCATCGTGCCCAATGTTTTCTTTACCACTTTCACCATGCCCGTCCAAATGGACCACTTACCCCCTCTAAACACGGGAGAATACTTCAGCTTGTTGATCTGGGCTGGTCTTATCGCACCATTGGCCGCAAATTTGGCTGTCATCACTCCACAGTCAAGTACACACATGAACAGGACAGGAAGTTTCATTCACGCAAAGATCTTCCCCGTTCAGGTCGTCCTCACATCAACAGTGCTTGCACCAAACACCACACCCTTAGAAACCTCAGAAAAGATCAATTTGTGCCCTATGCAGCCATTGCCAAACATATTCCAAACGTCACTGAACGCCGAGTCTGCCAGTTTGCCGCCGCTCATGGCTATCATCGTTATGTTGCACGTCGTAAATCGCGCCTGTCTCCGAGTGCCATCAAGTGGGCTAAGAGGAATAATGAAAAGGATTGGGATGATGTCATTTGGACAGATGAGATGTCCATAGAGCTGGGAGAGCGGCCAAGGCACTTGAGAGTTACCCAACGTCTAGGTGAGGAGTATCTCCCTGAGTGTACGGAGACAACCTATTGTAGTGGGCGCAAATCCATCATGATATGGGCCTGTATTACTCATGGAGTCAAAGGGCCCATCATCAAACTCGATTTGCCACCACTGACAAAATATGTGAAGGGAAGGAGGAAGGGTGGTGGCATGGGAGGAAAGGAATATTGGAGGTTGGGCTCATAGAGGACAAGCCCAGTGTGGCAATCCGGTACGGGAAGTGCCGGTGTGGCCATATACGGACCAGTAGTGTATCGTGTACCTGGTCTGCTACCATTGTGTACGACCCGCTCTATGATAGTGTTACCCAGCTTACAACAGGTTATGGGACCCTAAGTTGTCGCTTAGCAGCTTGCTCTTAGACGATTCAGCTCTGCTTAAACTTCTTTTTCTGCACGTATAGAGAGCTCGAGACCTCTCAAAAATGACTTCGTATGGTTATAGTAACTTCTCGTGGCCACAGGACGACATTCCTGCTTCTTCTCATGTCTTTTCTTGCCCGCCGGGTGCACAAGCCCCACAGCTATCAGCTTTCAACCCTTGGTCTTCTTATTCTCAGTCTCAGTCTCAAGTTTCACACAGTTTCTCAAATGGCCACTATTTCTCGGACTTGGCCTATGCATATACGGATCCACCGGCTTCCTTCTCGTCTAACGCACACCCGCCGCCGCCACCAGTCGATTGTCATGGTAACCATGTACATCCAGAGCCGAACGTGTTTCACTACCCAATGACAGGTGCCTGCGCTGTTCCATCAACGCACACTGAATTCATCGAGACCAGTGGAGCCGGGGCAGATGGTAACGGTGGTGATGGTGGCCACAGGACAGACGATAAGGGTGGTGATGGTGGTGATGGAGCAGACGGTGACGGCAGATATGGTGGAGATGTCCAAATGTTGGACCGTGAAGATGGAGGCAATATAGCGTGTCTGGATAACACAGGCATGTACGAAATTGAAGGTGAGCATCAAATTACCAAGCAAAAAGCGTTAATACCATATTGAACACCACTTGTTAAATTGCAGATGAAACGGACAGTGTCACATTTGATGCACCAATCCTTCAACTACGCAACAGTTTCGATGAATCCTTTCGCAATTACATACCCGACAGCGAAGCCGGGGGTGATTTTGAATGCTCTGACGACGACACAAATGCCAACGTACCTGGAACTCCAAATTTGTTGCATCACTCAGTGATCAACGATATGCATCTATATCAACCAATTCACAACTCGGAGGCTGATTCGGTATGGACCGATGACGAGTCCTCATCGGAAGACTCAGACGAAGGTGAGCATATATGATTCAGGGATTCTACATATATGAAAAAGGGATTGACACCAAACGGAATGTAATCACAAATAGGTGGAGAGATTGATATTGGCCAGTCAGGTTTTGACATTCCGAGTCCTCACACTCCGCCATCAGGTAGGTGGTGGACGACATGTATAATTGTACTAGACCGTCTCTTATAATTGAATATAAAATAGATGAGGAACCCTCCCATGAACCAGAAGATTCTGAAAACGAAACAACACCGGAAGATTCCGAAGACGAAACAGAACCGGAAGATTCTGAACATACCCGGTCATCAGATGTAGAAGACCGGTTAGGGACATCATATCTAGAAGACGACCACTCAGCATCTTCAGAAGACAGTTCATCGTCGTCGTCTGTGCAGAAACCGACCACACCATCTTACTGGTCATCAACGCCACCGCCAGAAGCAATGCCCACAACAGTAGAGGATACCCCAGCACCAGAAGGAGACGAGACATTGGCACCAGAAGTAGACGAGACATTAGCACCAGCAGAAGAGCCATCACCGCCGTCGAAAGACTGGGATCTCAAGCAAGATTTCGCTGAATTATTTTCGCCTGTGAAAAGAGAGCCCACCGTTGAACAGGAAATTCCGAGTGCCGGACCCAGCCTACCGCAAGACACAAAGTGCACGTACACGCGTTACGATATATCAAGCGAAGCTACCATGGGCCAATCTTCAGAAGTCGAGTTTGAACCTCACCCTCAATGTGTAAGTCAAATATATATATATTTCAGAAAAGCAGATGAGGAACGGTTTTCATACAGGCCAAGAAGGAGATAAATATATTCCAGGATCTCATGCGTGAAATGTATGATGCAAAATGTGGCAGCATCCGTAACTTCGACGGAACTGGAATCAAACCCCTTCATACCCTACAAAAGGCAGCATCTCGAGTCTTCGACCCAAACGACCCTGAAATGTCATGCATTTTTCGAGTGTCTTTCAATGATTTCCAGAGCCTTTCCACGACAGAGATGCAAACAATATTCGAAGATCGACACATCCTCATCTACGACATACCACCGAATCCAAAATGGAAATGGTCGCTTGAATGTCTTGAGGAGTTGTGTCCAGGAGGAATATTTATTGAGGTTCAAGGTACGCACCAGCAGGCTAAGGCTTATTATATGTCACTAAGCTGCCGAAGACATGAGAAACAGAGATCTTCCAGATGGTGATACCCAAGTCAATACGCACCGCGTATACACTATCCGCGATTTCTTCGAATCTGCGAGGCCTCCTTTTCCTGGAGCATGGACATACAACGGTTTGATGTTCAACGGGTTAAATTTCCCTCTACCACGGCAAACACTAGCACAGATACCGGGCCTAAGGTGTGTTCAAAAATAGTGTTGAGAAAATAAAAGCTCACAATCCTACCTTCTCAGTGAACTGTCATGCGACACCAGAGCTATGAAGCTTTACGATTGTAGAACCAACAACCACGACACCTATATCCCTAGAGCACATACCTCATGGGGCATCGTAAGCACTCAAGGAGTTGTATCGCGCATGCACATGGATACCACGGGACTGGCTACAGTTTCACAACCATTAGTCGGGGAGAAGTTCTGGGCGGTCGCAAATCCTAGACTCGAATTCGAAGGGATTGAGGATGGCGACATCGACAAGTACCTCAAGTTTAGCGACGACTACATTGACGAGCGATATCGATGGGAGGCAGTGTCATTGACTAATCGGAATGCATTGTACGCACCACAAATATACTCTCATTTCACAATAATAACAACAACCAACAGTTTCATGCGACCTAATACGTTGCACTACGTATTAACACAAGACCCGGCTACTGTTTATGGCGCACATTTCTACGCCACAGCAAACATCCTCGCAACTTGTTCCGGTGTGGTCCACTCTCTTCTCGTCGATCACCTTGCGACAAATACTTCACATCCCGATCTTATTCCAAACTTGGCCATGCTAAACTATTATCACAATGAGGCATGGTTTCATCGAATCGATAGCCCATGTAAGCGATATTGCCCATGTTTATTATATTTATACTCACCTATTATTTACAGATCGAGACATTGTTCCGAAAACATGTGATAAACGCAGCATGCTGTGGTGTATGGCCATATTCTGGAGAGCTCTCGACTGGCGTTCATACAAGAAGATCGAGGACCAACAAGTATACCGTACGGAGGAAAAATACACGGAAGAATACGATTTTCCGGCCACTCATAGAATGTGGATGCAAACCGCGATGAACGCCGCCGCCGACTCAATGATCTACTTGTCGCACATGGGATGGGAGGAACTGCCTAATGTGCCCAGGGGATACGAAGACGGGCCTTGCGACTGGAATGAAATACCAGGCAAGCCCCCAGCACTCAGCATATTTGGCGTTGCAGACACATTAGAATGGGTCCCATTACGCCTCCAATGGTCCATAGCAAGAGTACTTCATTTCGCCATTGCTGTATTTGTTGAATGGCTCCACTTGGAGCAGCGACAAATATACTTGCAGCTACCTATCCACTACCTGGCGTACTGGCTTGTTCAAGACGTCCTTGCCTTCTTCGACATCCGCATCGCCAACACACTTATGAGATGGCTAAGCAAAATATACGACCAGTGGAATGACGGAGACGATGTCGATATCGTCGGAAGCTTATACCTCAGCAGTCCGATATTTATCACAGCCCCATTATCCAATGTAGCTGAGTCCAACACCAAGACCTGGAGAGTCAAGCCATTTGCACCCAATTCTCGATCCGTGTTTTCCAGACGAGCTCGCCAATTCGACTATTCTACATTGTCTGCTACAGTTGGACAAAATGTTATCCACAGCGATGAAGAACGTACTGATTTCACTGGGAAGGACAATACAGATAATGATAGTCCAGATATGGTAAGTATGCTTTGTTACAATGAACAGAAAAATACTAATTTACTCAAAGTCCTCAGGTTCAGATTGGGAGGAAAGTTTGAATAAACGCAAACGGGGCAAACCACGAGGTCGCAAGCGGAATGCCAAGGGAAAAGGTAAAGCTGTTGAGGCAGAAGATGTCGAGATGGAGGATGTTCAGATGAAACCGAAACGCAAACCGCGAGTTCCCAAGCGGACTTCGAAGGGGAAGGGAAAAGCTGTAGAAGATCAAGATGTCGATAGAGATGTTGATATGCAGGACGTCCAAAACACGCGGAAGAGCAGAAAGAAGGCAGTCACATCGAAGGCGATAATTGAAGATAGCGAGGAAACGTCAGATGAGGGACCACCTCTAGCAGCAAGTTCAATTAATTCTAATGTTATATCTGCTTATGCTTATCTACCATCCACAGTCTATGTTAACATCCATGCATTGAATTGCTCATGAAGCAAGACTGTTCAAACGCAACAGCTTAGTTGGAAAAGTAAGTTTCACGTAATAGTACACAATGACAATCTTACTAAAGAAATTGTAGTAACAGATGTACCTGATTGACTGATTGATTACGAGACTGAAATAGAACATTACGGATTGTAGTTGATGCAGCTATAGTACATATTGTGCGAATACTAGCATCATTGAAAGCAGCCTGCCATTGTCTGAGGGTCGATATCTCCAACAACACTGAAAACCCACCACCTTGATTTGTTTGCAGAAGATTTATGAAGAGATGTAATGATTATGTACTTTTACAAGAAAAACAGACGCATGAGGCAATTCACGAGGCATACTAATTGTGCATGAGGTACCTTACGAAGCAAACAAGAACACACTAGAACCGAATCATCCAAGCGAGCAGCGATAAATAGGCAGCTGTTCAAGCGCAGCCACATCTCTAAATCCCCAAGCTCATACTGCACTCCAACGCTCTGCACTTTCTTCGGTGAGTATTCTCTATTCATCATCTACTAGAAGGTCCCATATTCTGATGCAGTATCTACACTGGTAGCACAGACTAATATTGATTATAGGTCCTAATGATGTGTGAGTGGCCTCGTTTTGAACTTGAAAGGCTTATATGCTGAGAAAAACAGGTATACTGGGCCTTCACTTCCCTTCTGAGGGGTCAATCCGAGAGTATGACGCCGCCGTAGACGACAACGGCACAGTTACGACCAGCGACATCATGAATGGCCAAGTCCACAAGATCACCATTTGTATCGACGAATATCTACAAGGCTGCATGCAAAGCTTTGACATGTATTATACCTATGACCCGTCCACCCCGGAGAACAAGTCTATCAGAGAGCATCTTGGGCTGGAATGGCATGGCGAAGTGTTGATGATGATAAGATGGCCAGGCCTAGCGGATCCATATGCCAATGAAGATGAATATGGAGACTACGACTATTGGACAGGAGAATATCATGATGCTCAGGCGTATACAGACTATGAGGCGGAGATCGATGATGGAGAAGAAAATACGATGGCTGCGGCATGTATGTGTCATCCTGTTACTGTGACATTGGGCAATACTGAATGATGTGGATGATATAGTGTTCGGTTTGCGCGACCTCCAAGATCATTTATCCACGCACCACACATTACTCCCAGAAGATCACTCGTGCTGGCATTAGGTATAAAGATATGTCTATACCTACCAAAGATAGATACATTATGTGTGGCCTATGGCACAACTATGGTGTCTGCTACCCTATACACAGACACGTTTACATGTTTTATGAGTTGAACATCAGAAAGAACATCAAGACTGGAGTACCCAACTGACCTTGTGTATGGAGCCAAATAGACGTATGACCGTGTGACGTTCCACGCCTGGTTATACTTCCTGTCTGGATAAGAGTTAGCATTTAGCAGATGTAGATACATAGGGACCTACTCCTGAAAAATAGGACAGTCTGGTAATAACAATAAAGAGACTCCATGTTGGGTGCAAATTGTAAATATGCAGTGCAAGCGCAAAGTCTTCATGAAAGACTAAGTCCTATGAACATTACAACATCATAAAATGCCACTACAGGACTAGCAAAAGGTCAACATACATTGGATGGCATCCTATCAGTGCAGATGTACTAGGTGACAAGGGCAAGGCAGATAGCAGTGCAGCGAGAATGGATGTCACGTGGAAGGTCTGTGGACCAGTACGGTGGACCAAAATCCAGGGTTAGGGGTCTGCATGAACCTTGCATTGCGCGGATCACCGCCAAACCTAACAAAGAAAAGAAGCAAAAGAAAGGAGTAGTATAAACGATGTACCTTCGTTCCTCAGGCATCGTAATGTGTGCGTTGTGGGACGTGTATGCATGCGAGAGGTGTGATTGGTCGGTCATGGAAGGTGTTATATGCGGTGGCAGGTAGGGTGGCGGCGCATAGTATGGTACGTAGTCGCTCATCCATGAATCTCCGAAATCGACATCGCTCGTTGGTTCAATACTGGTCCCGAAAAGTTCGCTGTATTGACTTTGATTGACCGTATTTGTGTGCACTTATTTGAGTCGATGTGTCAGTAGAATATTCATGCACCATCGGATGTGATTTACCTTCATTCGTTATCTGTTTCCATATCTTCTTGAGATTCAATATCAGAGTTTCGGATTTGTTCTCTAACTCGAGTCGAACGATGATAGACGCTAATGCATCTGCACCATTTTTGGTAAGAGGGCAGTTGTCCAGTGCATGCCACGGTTTTGAATTACAGAGCGGGCACGATTGAGAGTTCGAAGAGGGACGTGAAGATAAGAGCGGTGAAACGGTATGGGTACGTGCTGAGTCGAATGCAGTCTGCTGTACGTCGTGATGCGAGCTATGATTCGGATCGGGCATGTTTGATGTAGAGGCACCGCGTGTAGGCGTTGATGTGTGTGGTACTCTAGTTTCCGCAGGTGTACTTTGCGATCGTTTGAATTGAGCGACGAGACCTTCGTAGATGTTCTGCACCTGCTCGTCAGAGGCTGTCGGCATCTGTTGACGTATATTGTATATGATATCTGCATGATGTGGGTTCCGATACCTGAGGAACGAAGGTAAATCGGTTTTAACTACCTTTTTCTTTTGGTTCTTTTCTTTGCTGGGTTTGGCGGCCTCGGGCAACGCAAAGTTCTTGCAGACCCCTAACCATAGCTCCCGTGGACCGGTCCATGGACCTCTGCCTCTTCAACGAAAACATCAAGATATCTCAATAACTTTCATAGTCTTTCCCGATGCTGTACCCCTGTCCACTGACAATCATTGCTAGCAATACTTTTCCAAATTGATTTGGAAGAAATGACCTTGTCGTTGTGTAGAACGATGAGATATCATCGGGCGCTTAGCGTCATCGTTTGCGCTCATAGCTCTCAGGTGCCATCACCATCTCTCTTGCCTCATACACAACCGCACCCACTTTCTCTTGCCTGTCGACACGAATTCATGCCATGTCGGCAATGTCTATTCCAGGTCAGAGCGAACGAGTAAGCGTTCCCCCTTCCCCTCGCCCTTCGCCCTTCGTCGGTCCCATCCGCATACACATGTACGAACGTACAAACACACGAACGCACGAATACACGTAAACGTGCATGTTCGTCGCTTCAAGACAATCCTGAAGAGTTCAGAACAGGAAGATAGGAAGAGCTGGAGATACGGGACTCAGAGAGCCAACAGAGGGCATGTGGGCCCTTATGCCCCTCGGTACGCTCTCTTTTCGTCCTACTTGTTTCCTATCCTTTCTTTCTCTCTTTCTTTATATTCTTGCTCCCGGTCGGTTCTGCCAACCAGATCCCTCGTATAATAGAGGTCGAGCTATTCGTTCCACCCACCCAACCACCTCTCCCTCACCGCAGCCACATCTGTGGAACTCACGACGTGTCGACAGGCCCCTATTCGAACCAGAGCGAGCGAGCATCGCTCGTTCTCTCTCTCATCTTCACCGGTGCACGCATCACGTCGACGTGTCAATGGGACCGAGGATGACGTTGGCGGCACGTAGTTCGAACCAGAACGCGCTGCTCACTCCTCGACTGCCACACCCGTGCAAGCACAGACGAACTCGAGACTACTGCAGGTCCTCCCGAAAGCCACAGCCCACTAGAGTGTATGATGCACGTACACTTGCTTGACTCTTTTGAGTCCTTGTGTGACGTTCGTTATAGCTCCCGTCTCCCGCGCTCCGAATGTGCTCGCCCATCGTGCACCGTCCGCACCTTGGCGAGGCCGTTATCATGCAGGAACGCGTAGAGGTACATATTTTGGATCGATTACTACGGAGGTGCGTCACATCTTTACATTCACGCCGTTCTCGCACTCACTTTTCAACCCGCACAGACAGTCAACGAGCACACCCAGAGCGTAGACGCTCGAACGCTGTGCCACGCTCCTGTCGCCGTACAAGACACTTCGCGAAGGATCTGAGGGCGAGATGGGCTGTCACGGGCGTCGTCAGAACTTTGAAGAAGAGAAGAAAGGTGCGTACGCATTCTATATATTTATCCATCACACATCCAACTACTGCTATACGAACACTGACGTCAAAAGCAGCGTTCCTACCTCCTCGAACAGACTACCAGCAGCTTCCAAGCACCTATTGGAACACCGTTCACGTTGCCAGCATTTAGAGGCCTTCTTTTTGACGACCGGAGGTTTGGTATAAGACCCTGAAGGTACGCAAAGGAACGATGTTTGCTCCCCCTCGTATGGCCCTTACTTATTCGTCACTCGCCGCTTCTGACTCTCCCCGTTCACCTACTAGCCTGATCACAACCCCTCGAACGCGACCGGGCGAGTTCCGGGGAGCTAGGTCGAGGTAGCTCGACCGCATCGCAGATTTCAGAGATATCGACGAACCCCCTCTGCCCTCGGAAGACGAGCGAACTCCAATGATTCTGTAGGTGTGCAGAAGAACCGCCGAACGGGAGGGGGACGCGCCGGGCGTTTGACGTCGTCTGCGCTCATTGCAGATGACGACGCGCATCGCTTGTCTCCGTCGCACCACCACCTCTCCCTCGCTGAATCGCCCTCGCCCCCGCCCTCACCCACACCCGCGTTCCTTTCCATGTCGATGTGCCCCACAACATGTCGACAACGTATGTTTCGAATTAGATCGAAGGGAGCGCCCCCGCTCTCCCCCGCTCTCCCTCGATTGAGTCCGCATACGGACACCCTCAAACATACATGTCCTTCGCTTCAAGACTAGTCAGAAATCTCGAGTAGAAAAGATAGGAGAGAGGGCCTGAGTTGCAGGGTTAAGAGAGCAAATAGAGTGCATGCGGGTTCTTTCGCCCCTGGTACGCTCCTGTTATGTTTTGTCCGTTTCATTTCGTTTCATTATTTTTGTCCTATCCTGGTCTAGCTACTATCTCCCTTGTACAAGACAGGTCGAGCCACACATCCTTCCGACCGCCTTCTCCTCATCGCTGACACGTCTGTGGAACGCGCGACGGCTCGACGGGCGCCTATTCGAATCAGAACGACGGAGCGTCGATGGCTCTCGCTTTCATCCCCATACTCACCTCGACATCTCATCGGGAACCACGGTCACCGCGTGATCTATTCCGATCGGGAGTGAGGGAACGACTTTCCCTCACTCTCCCTCGATTACGCCCGCATACGCAAACGCGCACACAAATGTGCATTCCCGTTGCTTCAAGACGATCCAGAGAGGAACAAGGGCTCGGGATGCGGGCCAAATTCAAAGGAAATAATCGCGTTTGGGTTCTTTCGCCTCCGGTGCGTTCTCCTTCGCGTAGCGTCGTGTCGTTTCTTTTTGTTTTATTTGTTTCCGTTTTCTTTTATCTTTATTTGTTTCCGTTTTCTTTTATATCCCATTCCCTCTGGGTCTTATGACCATTCTCCCTCGTACAAGAGAGGTCGAGCCCCACTTCCATCCGACCCCGTTACCCTCACTACCGACACATCTTTGGAAACCACGACACGTCGAATCCAGGCGGCAAAGAGTCCGATACCAGCGCCTTCGTCCAACCTGATCTCTCGGCTTCTCGTTCACTATCCAAGTGACCCCGGCGTCATCCCTCGACCCTCGCTATCGCGAAGGAGACTGGTCGTCGTCTCGGTCTCGACGACTACATACACCCCGCTCGACGATGGTCTATAGCTCACAGGAAAACATCGCACTCTCGACGGGGAACCAACATCGGTATCACCGTCGACGGTGCGTACATATTCTATATATTCTATCATACAATTGACCATCGCCACCATAACGCTGACTCCAAAATCAGCATCCCCACCTCTTCGAATCGACCACCAACAGCCTCCAAAACCCCATCGTAACACCACATACGTCGGAAGCGTCCAGAAGCATCGCTCTCGACTGGCAAAGGCTCGGGATGGGACAGCGAAGATACGCAGGATCAGAGAAGGGGGCTACGAACAAGATGAGACAACGATCACCAATCAGACAAATGTACGCACCCTTTGTTTGCATCTCGGCCCGTTGGTGCTTTGCTCCGCTTTTTCGGCTGATCTTCATCTTGTTTGTCCTTTCTTTTCATTAGGCTGTCGTAGCCATCGACACCAAACTCGAGCGAATGCTTCATCGGGCGCTTAGCCTCGTCGTTCGCGCTCATGGCCGACGACGACGTACGTCGCTTCTCTCAGGTGCCACCATCATCCCCCCCCGCCGCATCCACACCAGCATTTAGAACCTCTTGCCTCTCGACGTGATCCACACCACGCCAGCAATGCCTATTCCGGGTCAGTGCGAGCGAGTTGGCGGACGCCTACTCGCCCTTCGTCGATCGCGTCCACGTCCGCATGCACGTACGGAAACGTGTACATCCGTTACTTCAAGACAATCCGTAGGAGGTTTAGAATGGGAAGATAGGCAGGAGGGCTCGAGATACGGGGCTCAGACATGTGGGTCTTTTCGCCCACGGTACGCTCCTCTTTTTCTTTTCATTTCGTTTATTTCAACTCCATCTCTTTCCCCTATTTCCCTCCCTCTTGGTCCTGCGAACCATCTCCCTCGTGCAAGAGAGGTCGAGCCTTATATTCCACCCGACCGCCTCTCCCTCCGAGTCACCGCCGACACGTCTGTGGGACTCACGATGCGTCGACGGGCGCCTATTCAAACCAGAGCGCATTGCTCGTTCTCGACTGCATGCAACCAGCGCACCCGCCACCCGAGAATACAAGAAATATGGAGCGCAGCTTCGAGCCCTTCGCATCGACTTGCTCGATCTTTGTTGCCTCTTTTCTGACGGGATGCCAACATCGGTATCACCTGTGACCCTTCATTGATACACCCGTATGTTGCAGCGGTTGCCGGGTGCGCGTCGTCGAATGCACACATTGCAGACGACGACGCGCGTCGCTCGTCTCCTCAGGTCACCACCATATCTCTCGCTTGGTGCGGCCAATATTCTTCATTTTCACTGTGTTTTCTTTTCGTTTTTGCTCTTGCCTCGAGCCCTCGTGGTAGTCGACGTTGAACGCGTGCAAGACGCGTCATCGGGCGCCTAGTGTCGCCGTTCGTGTTCGCGTCGAACGACGATAAGCGCCGTTCTTTCCTCTTCACCACCCCACCTCCCTCGCTACTCGCTCACCCTCGCCCTGTCTTCTCCGCATACCCACAGAGCACGGTCGCTCTCCTGTCGCTTCAAGACCATTTGGAGGAGGGAAGGGAAAGGAGAGGGGCGATTGAGTGGAGGCCAGACGGACTGGGAGAGGTTCATACCGAGGAAGCGTACGTTTCGAGTCGCCTCAGTATGTTTGTTTTCATATTCCCTCGATTATATATATATATTGGTTCTTATCTCCCCCGTTCAAGAAGGGCCGAGCCATATTCTCTATCCGCCGAGCTCTCCCTGTATCCACTCTACCCGGCTGTCGACGTGTCGTGGGACTATGACACGTCGGCGGTATCTATTTTCGATCCTCAGTGGCCTGCTCTCATAGCGGGATGACCAAACGCGCTCGCCGACGTCGAACACCAGTCCGCCGCGTCATCCCTCGTCGTCGGGAGCGTTTGTGGAACCCGCAACGCATAGGCTGTCCTTCGTCTCGTGAACAAGCGATTGGCTGCCAGCCCCAATAGTCATCATCGCTAGTGAGCGTCCTTGCTCCCCCTTACTTTCCGTCCATCGCGTCCACATACGCACGCACGCACACACGCATACATGCAAGCGTGCAGATCCGTTACTTCAACGCAATCCGGAGGAAGTTTAAACTGGGAAGATAGCGGGAATATAGGAAGAAGAGCTCGAGATACGGGGCTCAGAGAGCCAATAGAGGGCATGTGTGTCCTTTCGCCCCGGTACGCTCATCTCTTTTGCTTCTTTTCGTTTCTTTTTGTTTTATTTATTTCCTCTTTCCTCTTTTTTCTTTCTATCTCATTCCCTCTCGATCCTGCCCACCATCTCCCTCGTACAAGAGAGGTTGAGCCCCTTGTTCCACCCGACCGCCTCTCCCTCACCGCCGACACGCCCGTGGAACTCACGACGCGTCGACGAGCACCTCTTCGAACCAGAGCGAGCGAGCGTCGCTCGCTCTCACTCTTATCCTCACCTCCGCATGCATCGTCGTCGACGTGTCAATGGACCGACGATGACGTCGGCAGCACCCAATTCGAATTAACAGAAGGGTGAGTGTTCTATTTTCGCTCTCTATATTCGTTTCCTGACAGGCTCTCGGTACCTGCGCACCTTTGCTCCCCTCCGTCTCGCTGTAGGCCCTTCCGGAAGTCTACAGTCCACCAGAGTGTACAACGAACGCGCACCTGCTTGACCCTTTCGGGTCACTGTGTGACGTGCGATGTAGCTCCTCTCTACATTCGCGCAGCCAGCGCGCCCGCGCATCGTGCACCTCTGCACCCCGGCGAAGCCACTATCCCGCAGGAATGACACAAACTTGCATTTCGTCGTCTTGGTCTCGGCAACTACATGTAGCCTGCCACGGTACCCTATGGTGGTCTTGAGCCCGGGGCAAGCATCGCACCCTGGATGACATGATCATGGACACATATAGTGACGCCGGTGCTTTCTCCGAGCATAAGTCCAGATTGTCCAGAGTCTCCAGGTGTGTTTTTTCGCCTCCTCTGCCTCTCTTCGTCGTTCGTGATGCTAATTCGCGCTGCTGTTTACAGGGTCTCGCCTTTGCGCTATGACTAGCATAGTGCTAACGACGCCCCTGCCCTGTCTCGTACCAACGTCAGAAGCGCCGTCAGGGTGTCACCGACGCTGCTCGTAGTGCCGCTAGTATTGTCTTGACCGAGCTCGGTCTCTCCACCATTGCCTACGCCATTCGCGGGTTTCGTGACATTCTCCATAGAGGTGCGTCTCATCCTGTTCATTTCAGTTTCGGACTCACCCCTTGACCCGTACAAACAGGAGACGAGCGCACCGAAAGCGTGTGTGCTCCATCGCCACTCCAAAGGCTTCACGAGAGGTTCGAATGTTGTCATGGGTTAGCCGATAGCCCTCTCTCGAAGAGACGTCGTTGCCATCGCCCAAACGGGCAGTGGTAAGACCGTCTCGTTCGCTCTCCCCGCCATGTTGCACATCAATGCGTAAGTGACGTCTCGTACATCCCAACAATTCGCCAACGATGCTCATATGTCACAATAGTCAACCTCCCCTTTCGCCCGGCGATGGCCCCATCGCCCTCGTCTTGGCGCCCACTCGTGAATTGGCTGTTCAAATTCAGCAGGAATGCACGAAGTTTGGGTACGTACTTATCAACTCATAAGCGGATCCTTCCTGTGTCTTGCGTCTGATTGATGCTCGTCCTCTGCAGCTCCAACGAGTCGTGCATCCGTAACACTGCCATCTACGGCGGTGCCCTAAAAGGCTCTCAAATTCGCGATCTTCAGAGAGGCATTGAGATCGACATCGCCACGCCCGGTCGTCTCATTGATGTGCTCGAGCCGCAAAAGACCAACCTTCGCCGTGTGACGTACCTTGTTCTGGACGAGGCTGATCGTATGCTCGACATAGGTTTCGAGCCTCAGATCCGCAAAGTCATTGGTCAGATCCGACCAGACCGTCAGACCCTCATGTTCAGTGCGACTTGGCCGAAGGACGTCCAAAGGCTCGCTGCTGTATGTCCACTTCATCCACACTTCAGTGAATAACGCTGATCTTGACCCATTTTCAGGATTTCTTGAAGGACATGATTCAGTGCAACATTGGTTCCATGGAACTTACCGCGAACCACAACATCAAGCAGATCGTCGAAATTTACAGTGATTTTGATAAGAGAGGCAAACTGATCAAGCACCTCGACCAGATCAGTGCCGAGAATGCAAAGGTCCTCATCTTCATCGGCACAAAGTGTGTCGTGGATGATATCACCAAGTACCTCCGCCAAGATGGCTGGCCGGCTCTCGCCATTCACGGTGACAAGGAACAGTACGTGTTCAGTCCTCCATTCCCATCTCTCTTTCTATCCTGACATCTCCTCCAGGCGCGAACATGACTGGGTCCTCGGTGAATTCAAGGCTGGACGCTCTCCCATTCTGATTGCGACAGATGTCGCGTCTCGTGGTCTCGGCAAGCGCTCCGATTAGATGTCAAGAAGCCTACACATCGCAAACGAAACTCCTTTCCGTTCTTCGTGAACAGAAAGCCTGCTGGCGCTGGTATGATGGACCGCATTGAGTGCTCTGTACTCTGTATGTGGGAATGACTCGTGGTTTCTCTTCACGCACATTTTTTTCATCTACCAGGTCTTAGGGTTGCTGTCGCTTCCAGGAGCAAGGTCAGGTAAAGCAAGGGCTACGCGCGCATTCGAACACACAAATGAGGTATGCTACGATTTCCATGGCCCGCTGGATCCCCCAGTATATGGCCTCCCCCCCCTTAAGGATGGAACACTACAGGGTATGTTTTCGTTGGCGGTTATGGACTGACCAGCACCTGGACATTTCACCGTGTTCCGGCCATACGTGTACCCCTCAAATGTTTTCATGCGCGCTCAAGACGTCCTCATCTTGCCTGATCTCTAGCTTGGATGTTGCCTTCGGTCTGTCCTCTCGCAGGTAGGCTGAAGGTGTGACCCTGGGACGGACGTTACTTCGGACGTCGGATGCCTGCTTGTATCGTTCGTTTCCGTACTTTGGCTTCCCTTGTGAACATTGTTGGTAGTGCTTGTGTCGCACTCGGTATTGTCGTTATTGACGAAATCTCTCATGTTATTTGCATGTCATTCGCTCCTTGGCTTCGTCTTCTCTTCCTTGATATCTGCTGTACCGTGGTCTACTACGCGCAGATATCAAGGATGTTGGCTACACTATCGTAAGTGCTTCTCAATCATCCTCACAGAAACATGGCGCTCATTTACCATATTAGAACTATGACTTCCCCTACAACTGCAAAGATTCCACCCATCGTATCGGTCGTACAGGGATCTGTCATAGTCTGTCATCTCTATTGGTCTCTCAGCTCACTATCCTGTTCATCTAGCGTGCCGGCTTGAAGGGCACTTCCTTCACCTACTTTACTACGGACAAGGCAAAGTCTGCGCGCGATCTCTTGGCTATTTTCAAGGAAGCGAAGGCTGAGGACCCTCCCCAGCTCGAGGAGATGAGTGTGTTTGGTGGCAGTGGCGGACGAAGCCGTTACGGCGGTGGACGCGGTGGTGGACAGGGTGGCGGCTACGGTGGAGGCGGGGGATGCGGATACAGTGGTGGAGGAGGCAGAGGTTATGGGGGCAGAGGTAGAGGCGGAGGTGGAGGTGGAGGCGGCTACGGAGGACACGATTGTTGGTGAGCGCATCAGGATGACTTCAGACTGCTTCTACATGAGGCTTCTCCCGCCTACTGTCTGCTTGTCCCCCTCTGCACTGTGCCTGCTCCGTGGACTAGATCCTCAAGGCAGATTTGCTCGTTGCCTACTGCTCGCTTCGCATGCCTGTCCCTATAATGTTGTATGTGGTTCACTCGGCCTCAGTGTTGAGTGGCTGTTGGCCTCGATGACGATTATTTAGATGCACTGTTATGGGTTACCTCATTATTTTTATGAAGGCTTCCGTTAATGCCATTCCTCTTCGTTGTTGAAGACGACATTCTTGATCACATAATGTCGTGTTCTGGTTGTGTACAACTCACTTCAACAAGGGGGTTGTAAAGTGACGCCAAAATACACGAGGTCAAGTTCCGACCTCTTATTGGGCATGGTGAATTGTCCTGATTTTTCCAGAATCTCAAAGTTCAAAATTGATCTGGGGGGAAAGGTTTTGTGAATATCTGAGAATATCTGCTTTGAATATTCTGACATTTCTTTTTTACAATTTTTCCTCGCTTCCATAAGCCAGTCCCAGTGAGGACGGGCACCCTAACTACCTATGTAATAAAATTACTATATATAGTAGTAAGTTCCCAGTCATTTCCCTTTACAGGCAGGTGCTTTGCACGGTACCCCTGTAGCGGTCGCTTCGCTCCCATGACCCCCTTGCATTTCAAGGTGGGAATGATATCATTCTCAATCATTAGTCCGACACTCGGTGTATGTGTAGTAAAATGTGTATGTGCTTTGGCCTTTATATCGGTTATATACCATCTAGTCCGTGAATTTCCCTGTACAGAATTCCTATCAAACCCATTCCTTGGGTATAGCCCACACCCAGTGAGACTTCTCTGTGATTTCCGGGCCCTCGTCTCCTATGTAGTGCCTGCATTCACCCAGACCCATCCGTCAAAGCTCTTGATGTAATTCATGACCTGCGAATCGGTAGGCTCCCTCCGTCTTGGTACCTTGTTGTGTTTTTCGATGAATTTCATCATCAACTGATTGTAGTGATTCTCGACCCAATTGATTGCATCTGGGACGTCAGTTCCAAGATTGTTCATGACAACAGTGATGATGTTGTCCTTGGTACGCCTGTGCGATTGCTCATGATGATAGGAGAATCCTCCTGCTTGAACTGTCAGCGATGTGATACGAAAATGAGGTGTTGATCCAACATCACAGAAATTTACCTTTCTTTGTGTGGCGCTTCAAGGCTGGTTGAAGATGCGGCCCGATGCATGCCGGCCGTGATCCTAGATATTGATTGTGGCCTGTTTGCATCGCCTTGCACTGAGGCCACAGCTTGTGGCATAGTTTGTACGCAGTGTGCCTGTCCATGGCTGCGCAATGAATGGAGGTACCCTCTATGTCATATAATGCGAGCCATGTTTAGTCAATAAATTAACATGAGGTTTGTGTAGCATACATGGCTATGTGTGGATTGTGTGGCATGTGTGGCTCTGCATATGCTCACCGGCAGTCACAAGCCTTACCATGAACTGTTAGGGTTCACATAGCACACATTCTGTGTTGTATATCTTAATATACAAACAAAAATACAAAAATCACGGCCACCATATGGGGACGTGGATAACCAAGTCTAACAAAGCTTCAGAAACCTGTGAATGACCACTTAGGGTCCCTGGTACTGGCAGAGCCCGGCATGCTACTTGACTTCTTGGTAGTATGTGATCTTGGAGCTGTTATGGACTATATTTTTCGTCTCTTTTCTTCTCGACATGTCTGATACCGTAGGAGACACGGATGTGCAGTCTCAGGTTCCTTTTATTTAACTACATATACATCATCCACTCATATGGCCGGTTGATGAACATTCCATGGACCTGTAGCCGTGTCTCGACTCCTTTGTATTCTCGACTACGGACTACCTCGTTTCTCATAGCCTCGGACTGTGCTTCATAGCCTTGCATAGGCTTGTACTATATTTATTGTGTATAGGTTTCCGCATCGACTACGGACTGGGGCGCAGTACTAGCACGACTCGGTCTGACTTACTTATTAGTTTCATAGCCTCCTGCGGCTGCGCATGTATGTACTATATAAGGACGACCCTAGTAGAGGGGAGTTCTTTAACCTATTCATCTCTGATTTACCTCGTCTATCTGCTCGTACTTGAACTAGTCCTTTCAGCAGGACTAGCTTCCCTTATCGACATCAAGAACCTTTGTCTGTGTAGAATCGCCACTACACCAGACTTTTGACCTAGAAGCAAGGCTTCTTAGAACACGGCCGATCGCACCTGTGATAGCTATCACACCTGCACCAGAACGCGCGTCCACTCTTGAATCTCTATTCAAGCCTGGACATTACAGGAGCTCGTTGAGGGAAAGTAAGTCACATTCTAAAATCAAGGAATAGAACCAGGACTTATCTTTGAGAGCCCAGGATAGAGAGTCCAGCACTGGGTCGCAGTGGCAGAGTTGAACACGTCCGACGTGTGACATCATCCATTTTCAAAGTTCGCCATCACGTCTGACGTAACCGCCCTTTGCCCTTAACCCAGATCTGTTCCTCTTCCTGACAATCATCTCCTCCGGTCACTGTCTCAATAGAAGCCTATAATACAGGAATCCTACTAATTGGTAATAAAGTGAATATACCTTATATAAAGGCAAAAAAAACAGGTATCGTGCCTGCCATACTGCATGCAGTAATGGCCTCTCCCCCCAAGTCTTCTGTTGTGACGTTATTTGTGTCAGCTTCATCCGAATCAGAATCATTGGGTGTTGCATTTGAAGCTTGATTCTCTGGCGGATTCTCGGTCGAAGCAGACTGAACGTTCGGGTCTTTGTAATATATTAATATCAAACACAGATATAACTAAACCGTTGATGTACCTCTCAAATTCCTGAACCACATTGGGGCACGGTCGTCGTTCGCGAGTGCTGTCCTCATCTCTGGTGACTCCCAATCGTTCACGATCTTTAACACGGCTGTCTGAACATCAACACCGACGGCAATCTCGATGACAGCGCGCCATATGCTGCGCTCGATCAATTCAATGGGAAATGGTTTGTTGATATTCCCCATGGCTATGCGGATCTATTTTGGATATTAATTGTATGTTCGCTACTTGTTGTGCAATTTTACTTACCGCGAACATATTCTGATATGACATCCGATTCGAAATAAGCATAGAGTGAGAGGCCATAAGTAGAAGGGGCGATATGTGGAGAGCGATTAGAAGGGGCTGTAACATATTTTGCTGTGATCTTGCAATTAATTTGATGCCTTCTTCGTTGTTTCTTTCCGGTATGAGTCGAAGGTTCCTAAAATTATGAGGGTATTGTGTGTATTATTTGTAGTATGTTAGTATAACAATGCTTACTGTTGCAGACTATTGTTGATGTCAATCGCACTTTCGCATAGAATGGGACTCTGATTCACGGATAAGTATCGTGTGAAGCGAAAATATACTGATAGCTTACATTGAGGAGCCATGATAATGTTGCACCTGCGAGTGCGAAATTGTTGAGGGTGTGCGGCCATGCCAGCTTCTTCTCCCGAATGTCGACCGACTCGAGAAGGTCGAATATGATACGGCTTGCTCGAGTGACATCACGTGGAATTGAGCGATACAGATCGCGAGTGGGTATCTGGGACATAAATGGTGCAAATGTCTCTTGAATGACATCTGAGGATCCATGAGCTGTGGTCGTTCTTGGAAAGTGAAGCTGGCCCGACGCAGTAGTCTGGGTTTCACTGCTTTGGTTTTGAGTCGGCATGAGGAGTAGATTCGACGCAGTAGTCTGAATCACTGTTTGTTCTTGAGATTGATTAGGGCTGGTCGTATTGATAACCGGTGATGCATCAATTGATGAAAGACCTCGGGCGTCTTGTGCATATTGTTTCGAATACTGTTTGGATATTTGTGGCCCAGTTATCTAAGAAGTCGAAAATCTGCGTGATGTAAGTTAAATAATCAGTGATGACATTATGTCTACTTACAGCTTTCGCTCCTTTGACCTCTGCGACTTTGCAAAGACCGGTAGTGTTGGAAATGATCTTTCGTGGTTGATCCCCCGAGATTCCAGACATGTGTGCTAATAAATCAAATAGTATGTGTTGCCAGAAGACCCGCGCGAATCGGTTGTAGGTGGCTGCACTGGCATGAAGATACACGTCCTCCGGTTGACAGTCCATCTGGTCTGTTAGACCGAGGACGGCCCACGTCATGGCCGTGCTGTTGGTTGCGTTGTACAACGTCGAGGTGTCCCAATCATCCAGGATATCCGCTTGCCACTGCAATTACATTAGTGTCGCTCTCGTTCAGTTGTTCGTGCATTTACCTTTAAGAACGAGTTCTCTTGGTCGTTCGGGGATGTGTTCTTCTCTACCCATTTCGCCAAATCGCCGTTGAAACTGATCGCGCCACTCAGATAAGGAATACCGACAATGGCTTTCATCTGAGGTCGCATGTTTTGTTGAAGCTCGCGCGCGGTATTGATTTCCTCGGTTATTTTGGAATTCGCGTCGAGTGTCTTCTGGTTCCAATTGTTGCTGGGGCGAGGGTTCGAGGATACTGTTGGGTGAGACATCGCGGTGAATGTATCAGACAAGAGGTGCGTTGACGAGTAGAGGCGATGTACGTGTGTTGAAAGATGGAGGGGATAGACAACGTAGATGGTGATTTCGACGGTCATTGTGGCTGTGACATAACACCGTGTGACAGTACGCGAACTTGTGGCACTCAACGAGTGTGGCAACGCCAAATACATCTACAACTCACCTCATATTCTTGCTTATCCTACGATCATCAAACCGTATACTCTTATCTCTCCTTTTGCAACGCAAGATATACTGAGCATGTGAAAAATATCTAAAACTACAAGTACTGCACGACTACGTAAACATACACGGCGATATTCGTAACACATTGTCCAATCAAAAAATATGCGATATTGCGTGAACCTATACAATCATGAGGTGAGTTGAGTGATTGATTAGCAGTTATATGTTACTTACCAAGAGACCATGCGGGAAGATGTGCGAGAAAGCTCGCGATCAACTATTCACCGATCAGAAATGACTCGTATCGCTCTCGAGTAGTGTGCGGGGTACCGTTGGCAAGCGACAAAAAGAATCATAAAAGGTTTTACAATAGAATACGACAATGGTGCGCTCCGTAGCCATGAAGTCCTCCTCCTTCAGCTTCAACCATTCCTCGAGCGTGATGTCCCACCACAGCGTGCACTGGAATTACAATGTGAAGCCGGAAGTCCCGTCCATCAACATTGTAATTCCAGCCCAAACTGTCCGCTGTCACCTGGCAGTGCTTCTTTGCTTCTCATGCTTACTCAGCTAGGGAAGCCGTCAGAACAGCATATTGATCTGGGCATCTCCTAATTTGGATGATTCCCCATGATTTATCATTAGTAGCCTGGCCTTTTTGACTTCCCTTGCCCTAGACTTGGGTTTCCTGTTCGGCCTTGGCCTGTGCCACTGGCTCCTGCAGCCCAGCCCTTCCCTTCCTCCTCATTTATTATTTTACTACTTCTGTCCTACATATGTATATAGTACACCTAAGTAGAGTATATATCTACTCAATGCATTCATATTAGAGTCCAAGATAGGGTTTGTACGAATTTATTTCGATTTTTGCGTATTTTGTGGCCCAAGTGTGGCCCTCCCTTTCCCCTGGTTCTGTACTTGTTTTTTCACCCAAGCCAAGTCAGATATGAGCTGTTGAGCCTCATATAGATGTATCTTATTCACACAGGCTCTGATCACACCAGGAAATCCAAAGAAATAAATGAAACATGAATATATTTCGCATTTTCCCCCTAATTACATACTACATGCTCTGGGGAATTATACAGGACAGCTACATAGGCATACAGAGATTGTGCATGTAGAAGAACATGATAGATACAAGTTGGAGCAGAAAAGGGAGCAGGATCAAAGGTTCCTGCTGTTCTAGAGGGGTAGGAGGAGGCAGGAGGGAGTAGGAGGGAAGGGTGGCCATAGAAATAGAAAGGATGGATAAATAGGCGAAATCTTACCATGGCCAAACTCTAACATGTCCATAGATACCTCCCAGACACAAAAAACCCGAGCCAGAGGCCTAGGAAGAGCTGGGCTGGGTGTTGGGCTTGATGAGGTGGTAGGACAGTGGGCTGATTTGGAGGAACCAGTGGAGAGAAATAGATGGGGACAGGTAGAGTGGGTAGAGGGTGTATGGAGAGGTTGGTACAGAGGTTGTTTGGGGTAGTAGAAGGGCTGGGTGGATGAGGAGAGGGTGGGGAAGGGTGGGGGTGATGTGGCACCAAGATGAACCTATAGCACAAGCTCTAGGTCTCTCAGAAGCGAAAATTGTGTTAGAAACATAACTACTCACCTTAATAGTCCTGCCCAATCCACCAGAAATCTCTACATCATCTCCAGAAAAGGTAAAAAAGCGAAAATATATGGGGGTAGGCTGGGCCACAGACCATATTGCCACCCAGACTCAATCACTGGACCAAACTGGCCCAAACTTCCTAGGAATATAGTTGATGAGTGGGAAAGAGATGTTAGATATGATTTGGGTAGGTAGAGAGAGGAGGAGAAGTGTAGGAAAAGGGGGAGGAGGGCATGTTGGTTTTCAGGCACATAGGCTTACCTGAACATTCTAGCCAATTCTGAAGCTGTTCAAGCTTCAAAAACTCGAAGATATACTTGAGGAATATGCTTGAGGATGTTGCTGAAGTACTGAGAGTGAGAGAGAGGAGTGAAGACTGAAGAAAAGGCAAGGGTGCTGGGCTGAAGGCCACAGCTACACCTCAACAGCCAGCCCAGAACCTTGAGAGCTCCAGTCCCTAATTTCCTGCAGTGCACAATCTTAGAAACCATGGCGAGGTTTTCCAGTTCGGCTCTGAGTACTCTCAAAGGGAAAGGAGATGAAGGAAGGGACATGGTGGCTGAAAAGAAGGAGAAGCCGAAGAAGTTGAGACGATTTCAAGCCACTAAATGCTTTCAAACTCAGGTTTGCAGGGCACTTCTCGGTTCAAACCCTCAGAGCACTCCTTTTTGCTCAAACTTTTCGTAGGTTTTCAGGGGCTCTTATTCTAATTATAATTCTGTTTTTTCCAGTATTTTATTGCAGCTCAATGTATTTACATCGACTCAACATCTGGGCGATTGTGGCCCTGCTGTGGCATCCCGGACGCTCAACCTACCAAAATTGGAAGGTGTTTCCGGCATTTTCCGTATTTTTCCCGCAATTAATGGCTGGAAGCAGCTGTGGCACAGAGGATACTAGGGGTTGTGCAGCTTCATTTTCCTTAGATTCTCTCTCTGTTCTTACTATTGTAGATGCCCCAATGTAAGATTAGTACACTATTATCATGCATATCTGAGTCTAAACTCTCTTTCTTTATTCAAATCCGATTTTTATCGAATTTCTGTATAGTGTAATGTGGGCCACATCAGCATGTCCTGCTTGTTCATGCTCTGGCACTGCTCTATATCTGTGTTGGTCTTGGGTTCTCATATATTACTCTCCAATAAATCAAGTTTGACACTTGTATGCCTGTACTGTAATATATTTTGAGGCAGGGAACTGAAGTACCCCTAGTGCCACACCCCTGAAAATACTTTTTTGGTCATTCTAAATCTGAGAAAAGCTGATAAAGGTGTTCAGGAACGAAGTTATGACTATTCTGAGGCAGTATATGTATATATGATGATGTGTATCTGTTTCAGAAAAATGCAGGAGTAGGAAGGAGGTGGGCCACACCTGGGCCACAAAAAAACCGAACTTTGTTCAGACTTCTAGGAGGGACAGTACATAGTAGCAGTTCTACACTGATATCTATCTCATATTAGTATATCAAAACATACATAATATAAAGTATCCTACTGCCAGAGCAAGAGCAGGAGCAGGAGCAGGGCAGAGGAGTTGGGCCACATTTGGGCCACACAAAACAGCTAATTTTTCGAAATGTATGCAGGGCTTTTAAGGCAGGATACTTATGTTCAAGATTTGCTCTGTGCATGCTCATAAAACTTATTATGTTCTACTGGTATGCTCAAAATGAAGTGTAATAGGAAGGGAGCAGGGTAAGAGCAGGGGCAGGGAGCAGGGAGAATTCCAGTAGTAGCCAGTGCCACATCCCAATTAGGCTGAAACCCTAGGATAAGGCAAGAAAAGGAAGGCCGAATCAATAATCAATAAAGTAGTAATCCAAAAGCGGACGGTATGCAATAGAAGCATGGAAGCCACATTATAATGTGATCCCATGAGAATAGCGCCTGAGAAGCAGCCAGAGGTTCTGGCTCACATTACAATGTCAGTGCACGGAGATCCCAGCTCACATTGTAATGTTTCTACATGTACGCCTGGATGTCCAACGCCGCCGGTTTCTCGATATCCCAATCCTTCATTAAAGACCAAAATGCTCGAACGAACGGACGACATTCTTTCCACTCCGGGCTTGCTAGGCCTTTACGAGCGAAGCGAGGGTCCGCCGTGAATATGTGTACTCGTCCGAGGGTTGATCCATAGAAGCACCGCAACACTTTCGACTCTCGATTCGACATCCACTCTTCGTCCGTCATATCTCGTGGTCGAATGGCTGGTTGACAGAGGCGACGATCGATGGATAAGAGTTCGTATTTGAAGTTGATTTCGCATAACTTCCATAGAATCCATCGAACCTTCTCCGGAACCAACTTCCCTCTACTCTCCTCTGTTTTGACGGCCTGAGCGATGCCTTTCCAATTTGGTTCGGGCCGGCGTGTCAATCGAAGGCGGATTTCGAGTTCGTGTAGGACGGCATTGAGACTGTCTTCGGTTCGTGTTCGTACGAAATCAGTGGACGTTCGACCGTCGTAGCTCAGGAGGTCCCGCCATTCTTGACTGCTCAGCATACGACCGTTGTGGAGTCCATTCGCAATTGCGTCGATCCACGCGTCAGCAATAGCAGCCCATATCCGTAACCAGCGATATTGTTTCTCCTGAGAGATCCTGTAGAACAATTGCGGTTTTGGCACAACATATCGTCTATCGGCCTGCCAAGTCGCCGAGGTTTTGGTGTGTGGCATGAGATGATCCAAATCCTTGAAGCTGTTACGCCACACTGGGATAGCAGGCGGCGCGATCGGACTGTCGGGCTCCACGAATTCGTTTCGGTCGAGATTTGACGGGCGATTAGCTGGGTAAATCATTAGTGTTTAGATAATAATGTAATGAGTGCAAACTTACATGGTAAGGACGGTTTCATCCTGGGGAGTATCTGAGTCGACTGCTGGTAAGACACAGGGAAGCGAGACGGTGGCTTTGGCTGTTCGTACATGTCCGGAGTAGCGCTACGCTTGTAGTATTCGTTCCGGATCGCTTTCATACGGTCTTCATTCTGCAAGTAATCACCCTTGAAGATGATTATCGGGGGTTGGCATTCGGCGATCGTGGCGACGACAGGTATGATAGGATTGACGAGTTCCTGAATTTTTTGGTTACTGAAGGAACCGTAACTTTGAATACACCATATGGGTATGCCGGCTCGGCGGAGTCTATCGATGATTGCTGGGTCCTCGCCCACAAAGGCACCCATGACTCGCTGGACGGTTGGATCCAGCGGTAGTTCGCGGTTGTGCACACGTTCTCGGAAACCGTGGTACCAGTTGTATTGGCCCGCAAGCTCCAGCCAGGCGCGTCTGAATTCGGTGTAACGGTAGAGTGTCGTGCATTCCGTGGCGGCGAGCGTGGTAAGACGTACGAGGCAGTCATTAAGTTTGTCGAGGAGAGGTTCTATCGTGTATGTGAGAGTGGGAAGGTCCTGCGTGCAATGTTTGTTTATGTAGGTCTTGGTGTCATTCGACAAGAATCTCATGACCTCCGCTGCGATTTGAAGGAGGCCGAGGTGGTCTTCGGTGATTTGGACCATCGCTTCAGAGATACCGGGAGTGCGCTCGTCACTCCGAGGGTCGAGAAGATTACGAGGTAGTGGCCCCCATAGGCTGCGATACGGAAAGTAAGGGTCGGTGTGTTCGGTCGGCTTGGTCGGAATACATGCGCGATGGACATATTTTGGGGAGAGAAACTGAGGTGTGTTGGTGAAATCGTCTGCGCCGTAAGAACCGTCTTCACGAACGAACGTGTCGTGGATCTTGAACTCGAGGAAAGGTACCCAGTTGCTGTTTATGGACGTTACGAACTTGTCGTCTTTGGGGAAATGGGCGGCTACAAGTCCATCGAATGGTCCATTCGGGCCTACGAACATACTTAGCATAATTATAATGTAAAACGGATTGTGACGCACGAAAGGAGTCGTGTTCAAGCAGGTTGGGAACCTCCTTGTGTATTATTGGTTCCTCTGCGTTGGAAGGCGGGGGGCTCTCTGGCGATATTTGTATATCGTCCATTGCTGTGACAACATCAGGGTGAGAAATTGCATCAAAACGATAATATGAACGTACGTGTTTGAACTACAACAATCGCATGTCCATTTTGCAGTAAGCGAACATTAGTTTATTTGTTTTTAGCACTGCACAAACTGGTACGTACATTTCGGTCTCGAGCAAACTCAAGCAGATGGAGCAGCAAATGGAACAGAAGTCGTATAAAATGCGTGGGCGAGTCGCCGTTTCTTGTGATACGTTGAGTAGAAGGGCGACGCAAAGTCTGCCCGAATAAGTTAGTGGTGAAAAGTGATGTATAAGGCGACGCAGAGTCTGCCCTAGGTCGTTTAGGAGGTCGGAGGGAAGGTGTAGATGTCGAGAGTCCCGCGGCGAGGTAGGAGAGTAGAGGAGCGAAGAGGTCGTGAGTGGTGGTGGTGTGGACAGAGGTGAGTGACGACAGAGGGAAAGCCACTCATTTCCGGAGAACGCCGAAAGCATTTCGAGCGGAGCTTGAATACGACCGCACTGAGTTTCGGAACTTGTGCCACCACCGCCTTGTCTTCTCTCTGGTCTCTTGCTCTCTCTCGTCTTCTCTATGGTCTCTCCCTCCCTCTCGTCTTTCCCTCTCTCTTGCATCTTCCCCTTTCTCTCGTTTATCCTTCCTTCTTGTCTCATCGTGCCTTGTTGTCTTACTCGTTTCTTTCTCGCTATCGTTTCTACCTTTTCTTTACCTCTGCTGTCTCTCTGTTGTCTTCCTTTTTCTCTCGTATCTCTCTCGCTTTATAGTTTTTTTGCCGTTATTGTTTCTTATACCCTGTTCTTCCTCAATCTCCTACGTTTGTTGCCTTGGCTATTTGTTGCTACTCGCCGCCGCCATCGAACCTTTCGGATCGTCATCCTCCATTCGTGGACTCTCGTTCCCGGCGAAACTTCCGTTTAATGAGGCAGACTATTGCGTCGCCTTTTCTTCTCGATCATTCCTCATCGCCTCATACATGGGTAGACTATGTGTCGCCCTTTTCTACCTTCCCTCGTGCAGGCACAATCTTACTTTGGTATGTTCCCATCTCGTCTTTTCCGTGCTTCGCTAACTACATATTCTCAGTCATGTAAGGTCGAGTGGAGTATAGTAAGGTGCATCATAAGCTTAGTCCAGGTTCGTCTTTGTTTCAAATCTCTCATCGTAATAGCTTTGTGTCTCATCATTCACTTGACTGTATGATTTCTACAAGCACGAATCTATGTCGTGTTTTCTTTTGCACTTACTCCTTCTTGAAGATCTACGTACTCCCGATCATTAGGTTAGGTAATACCAATGCGTGTCCATGATCTTATTGTCTTCGCTAACCTCAGATCAGGTGTCCATGTCAAATGCGATCGCATCTCTTGAACGCGGGCAAATCACTTCAAGCACCAAGTATCTTGAGAAGATGTAGCATAAAGTGTCATTTTTCTGAGCTCTGAAAAACACGTACGCCGTTATTCTTCACGGTTATTGAGCATGAGGTCTAACGCTGCTCAATTAAGTGTATCTAGATTCGATAGGACAAGTGCAAATAATTCACATGTTCTTCAAAGTGGTTACACTAACAACGTCGTAAGTGCTGTTCGGTACTGGACTTTGATATTTATGCCGTTGATGACAACAATCTGAATCTGATTTTGTAGTCGGAGCAAAATATATATCAGTGTGTATGCTGATGCCCCGCTCATCGCGTTTGTTTAACTGACTTCTCTGCACGATCGTGCTAACACGTATCACTGTATTAGATACCCATTTGCATTTTAACTTCGAAATTACACGGATGCACCTTACAGTGTGTAATTAGGACTGCGTAACTCTGTGAGCAGCAGCTTTTGCGAGCTTTTGTTGATTAGTCAGAGGTCAGGCACATAGCATGTGTATTCAAATTGCTCCCTAATCAGCGAGTTCTGGTGGGGAGGTCCAAAGGTTTAATCCGCCACTCCTAACGAACGCTAAACGATGTGCCCATATGATGTGACGGGCATGTGTGCAGACGAATGATGTGAGGCAGATTCTACTGCCGTTTGCATAGAAGACTGAACGCGCCCTTTTTTTGTGCGCGCAGTGCCTGGCGCTCAGTGACCGTGACAGCGCTATCCGAGGATACAGATTCAAGTGGCGAGACTGGGGCTCTCGGTGCCACAGCTGTTGTTGTCATAGAAAATTACCTCTGTATGAGAACGCCAGGATAACGATCAGTATGGACTGGTGTCATTATAGTCTCATGACTTTCTGCGAAGGATACCGTTACATGCTCGATGAAAGAGCACTGTACGAGATTCAGCGTCAAACAGAGGGTGAACTTAATCATCAGCAGCTGAGGTCTTTCGAAATAACTTTGGTCCAGCTAACGACGGCCACGCTCAGACTTCGATGTAGCCGGTAGCCGTTCTCTGTCTGTGAGTCCTTAAACTCGCGCTCTCTGCGTCGCTGGGCCTGCAAACTGATCGACCTCACCAGCGGCAGTCGCGCTGTGGCCCAACAAAAGATAGTCGGGCCTCGACGGACCGCGTCGTCACGGTCACGAAGAGATCAGACGCCCGGCGTGAAAAAAACGGTGCGTTCAGTCTTCTATGCAAACGGCAGTAAGAGTCTATCGGAGTTTGCTCAACGCGAGCTATAACAACGTGACATGAGCTGATGGGACGCGACGCGATGGAGTATAAATAGACGCGACGCGATGGAGTATAAGTAGACGCGACGCGACGCGATGAAGTATAAATAGACGCGACGCGACGCGATTCGCATTTTGGCAGAGACTGTCGAAGATATGACGTTTTTGATGCCGCGCTTCCAAAAAGCGCGGCATCAAAAACGTCATTTGCGCGACAGTCTCCGCCAAATCGCGCTCCGGAGGAATATACCACCGTGAAGATCATGTGATAATAATCAAATGTGTTCGATTTGGGGTCTCACCGGTGTCATATAGATTCTGGTGTCTTCCTAGTGTTTTCGCTCTAATTGTTGGCTGTCTGATTTGTGGTGACGCGTAGTCTACCTGTGGTCCTATGGAATAGAGCGACGCATAAGTCTGCTGCAATGTTGAACTGTTTTGATGTTGGTGGAGGGGAAGAAAGAGAGGTGAAAAGTTAGGAGGACGTGGCTTGCTTCTCGAACCTGTGCAAGCTAAATTTTCTGATTGTGCCTGAATGCTTCTTTTGTTGCCATACGGCAGTAACCTTCCGCACACGCTTTCGTCCAGTTTATTCTTTTTATATCTTATGTTCTGTAGTATTTCATGATATTTTTCCCCTTTTGCATTTCGCGATGTCCGCCATGGGGTGAAAGCAAGCCGCACTCTTGATATGCCATATGTAGTTCGGCCAATTCAGTGTGTTTTACTTGTTGGCGGTTGTTGTTTTTATTTGGAATGGTAGTCACTATTCACAATTCATTTGCAAGATACTGGTCTTTTATTGTTTTGCTTGGACCTGGTCTCGTATTGGGTCTCCTGTTGTTCAATCTCCTTTTTGTACCAAGTAGTGCACACAATGTAGCTCACCGTGCCACTTCGTCAAAATTAAAGTAATAAAATAAAGAAAGAAATAAAGTCTAATTTTAGTAAGTTGTACTTCCAAATCGGGAATTACCCGTATATTATTTTTGATCGGTCATTATGTCATCTTTTGATGTTCAACACATCGCTTCTTTCCCTCTTCCCTGTTTTCTGCCTCTTCATCCTCAACTGTCTTGCTCTTTTTGGGATCTTTTGTCTTGTCTCTGCTTTTTGGTGTACCTATATCAATCATGTCTGAACCACTCTCCAACACAGACTTCTATGCTGGCCCGCGATTTGTTCTTCCTGATGCCACACCTGTTATTCTTCCCAATTGCCCGCTATATTTGCCCCGCTTTTACACTGTGGAAAAACACTCCCAATGTCCCGAGTATGATGGCTCCTATGGAACTATCTACATCTATTTGGAAGACACTGAGGATCGTGATCGCATGTGTCATCTTCGTTCTTTCACAAAGACCTTGAAGATTCCGAAGGGTTCTAAGGCCTATCTTGTACATGATCTTGGTGTGTAATGAGTTGTGCTGTATTTTGATGTATCGGAGTAGACTTTGAGTCGCTCTAGTTGTCTGTTATCTTTGAATGGTAGACTTTGCGTCACCGTTATCTTCTGTGTTGGTTTTTCTTTTCTCTTCATGAGTTTACTTGTTTTTCTGCAGGACTCTTGCATGCTCAAGATGGAGATATGGTATTTGCAAGACCAATTGGTGGCGAGATGGATGGGGCAAATGATTCTTTGCAACTAATGGCTTTCGGCGAGTATGTCAATTTATTGTGAACTGCTCTGTTTGTTCAAACTCATGGAGTACACATAGTAAATGGCTCACAACACCGGAGGTGGCGGACTTGTTGAAGTTCAGAGAAAGCTTGCTAGGCCCTCAAGAAGATATCGTTCCTGATGATCCCTTGAATGGTACAGCTTTCGAGAGAGCTGGTCATTGCAAAGGCATTGGTGGTAACACTCGCGCATATAATCTTGGTACATCCTTGGAACAAGCGACTCAGCTATGTGCTCCAGCCGCGCAGGGTAAAGGCAGAGTAGGTGATCTAGCACAAGGTGTCAAACTGAGACAAGGAGCAATAAGAGTATGTTGTTGTTTTTTCCCTACCATTTTCTTCATCTTAGTAAGGTCCAACATATTAGTATGCTGCGGCCGTCGCGATGTTCTTTTCGAAGAAGTTACCTAGGAAGTGGCGTGAAACTATTAAGAAGCAGTCGGACCTGGTGAATGCACCCCATATCGGTGTGGATGATAATGGAATGCATGCAAATGTGCAGATGAATATAGCTTCAGCAAAGAAACCCGACGGTTGTTATTTTATTTTCGATGTTACTTATATGAATCTGACTTGTGGCATTAGATGATGCAGGTTTGGACGGTGACCTTGGCTTTTTTGGGGGATCTCATATCGACAAACACGACGCCGACAGTGCTCTCACCAACATGCTGGGCTGCAACAAGGTTCCGGACAAAGGCTATGATGGAGGGGTCTTCCACCTTCTTGAGCTTGGAGTGTTTGTCTCCTTGGGAAAATTCAACAGTCTATATTTCTCAGGACTCCGTTTACATGGTGGGACTGCTCCCGTTTGTACGGATCTCAAATATTGGGTCAACTATGGAACTCGATTGGTTTTCGTTCTCTACCCACCACGACATATCCTGAATAATTATTCCATATCGGCGATCGCTTCATTCGATATTCGATTAAGAAACGCCGAACAGGAGCATGTTGCCCATCTCGCGGAAAAGAAGAAAAGGAAACAGATGGCAGATGGAAAAGGAGAGTGGAATACCGATGATGAGGAAGATTTGGACGCAGTTGATTTTGAAGAAGGCGAGCAGTTCAAGGTGAAGTATGCCAACATGCTCAAATTTCCGGCTTCTCTCAAAAATAAGTAAGTACTTGTTGTCCTTCATATTGGTCGATGTAGAGAGCCAATAGTGTGAAGTAAGCTACTCTGCTGTGGCATGGCGCCACGGTTGTTGATGCATGAGGGTAGCTTGTCGCTCTAGTAGCTCTCTCCATACCTTAATCTATCTTTTTATTACTGTCTAACGTGTTATTAGCCCTCAAAATCCTTATGTTCAATCTCTCGAAGAACACGCCACATTTGCTCAAGACGGACATGTCATCATGCCTCGGAAAGCGTGGATCACCTTCATGATTCGTAATTTATACCTCATGAACATAGGTATTCTTTGCCAGATGGGTACCAATTCTGGGGTAAGACATACACCTTTCGATTCTATCTTAAGTGTTTAAACATGTTTCTAGTTGCGTGTTGATCCCACTGCGTTCCTCAAAGCATTCACTGTGAAAGGAGATGATCACTATGAGATCGAGGAGGATGACATCAAACGTGTATTAGACGAATGGAAGTATGCTCCTCATATAAACGGTATGTTTTTCTGTGCCTTGTTTTCGATTATCGTCTAATGTATTTGTTGGCAGACTATGAAGCTGATGCTCCACGACAAGCTGCTGCACAAGAATGGCTAGATTGGGTCGCTCATACTTCGAAATTCATTCCTGCAACATACAAGCATCTTCCTGGTGAACCCTTGAGTATAGCCACTCAACCTTTCACGCCAGAAAGTGGATTGATCCGAAATAGTAAGTATACGTATATGTTATTGATGACCTACTCTCATCTTTGTGACTGTAGACTGCTACGAAAGTCAAGTCAAGAAGCTGACTGTGGGACCTCGAGGACATAAGCGGTCTAACCTTGCTTCCAACCGCAATCAAAGTAGTATGTCTATGTATCACAAATGGTTGTATAATCACTCATAGTACTGTTTAGAGCGTCGTCGGGATGAGGAAACAGAACAGCAAGATGCAAAGCGTTCTAAGAAGAAAGCCAGGTTTGACGATGAGGAGAGTGAGGAGAGTGAGGAGAGTGATCATAGAGATCGAAGCTCAAGAGCTGACTACTTCATCGGTATGTTTGGGGATAATCTTTTTTACTCTTGAGTCGATTCTCACTATGAAGCAGATAACCCAATCGCTCAAAGTATGTTTGAGCGTACAGTGGCAGTGATTCACCCAGAAGAAGAGACACATGAAAACGGTAGTCTAGCTATTCCGCATAAAGGTATATTTATATCAGGTATCACAATCAACTTGCGTATTCTTACTGAATACTATCCATTAAAGAAGGCACCTTTGTTATTGGTTCTCTCTCGTTATTGTTCGCTTCACAAGACCCTGGTGCTCGAGTTGGTGCTCTCAGTAATCGGCTTAATAATCGAATCATATGCCTTGGTCAAGAACGTGAACTTATGAAAGAGATATCATGCTTTGTGCAAGAATGTAAGTACTTGACATATAAGTGTAATTATTCAGATAGCCTTAAATTATCATTGTAGTGACTGTCCCTGCCGAAGATTGGTTCAGCGCATCGTCCATCACGGCCCAACTGGACGCTTACAGAAGTAGTCCATATATTCTTGGTGTAGCTGGCTCTTCAAACTCAGGATGGGAAACCGACTTACATCGAAACGTCATCCCTCTACATGATCAAGTAGCCGGAAAATCTGCAGACTGGCTATCCATGGACACACTTCGATCGGCTTCGTTGAGCATGATAGCTGTTCGGCACTTAACTGAAACGGTTTCGGTGTCGAACATTTCTATACGCCGAACCCGATTCCACACTCTTCTCGCTCATTCCTCCGCTTGGATGTGGCTGGAGAATATCTGCGCTTATCATTCTCAGCCAGACGTATTCAACCGTTTAGCATATGATTCCTGGCCCTCCAAGTTGGCCCGTAAACTACATAATGCCATCGTAGAGCTTCAACTATCGAACATCACCCTGACTCCTTCACATTACATTCCTCATCTTCCTGCGGAGCCCGCGGTCTTTCAGATTTTCGGCAATCGAGAGTATTCGGACCCACATGCTCTCCCGATCATCCAGCAACGTATCTACCATCAGATGAAGCATGTCCTACAAATGTGGCTAGGTTTCCCAGTGGATACTTTCGCGGATGCGCGGGCATGGACCGCCCAGATCCTTCAAGCTATGTTCGGCATTGGCGTATTTCTCCTGGACGAAACATGGAACATATATGTTCATCTCGCTCGAACTGTTCTTAATCGACCTTCAAAGAACATACGACAGATGTACATGCATCAACTGGTCCCTTTCTTTCATCAAATCAAGCTCTGTGAAGCTTCACATGTCAATGGAGTTGCACGCCGCGCTCTCGACGACTTGTTAGCTCTTCATCTATCGGTGTTTCCAAATCAACCCTCGCCATCTATCGATCACAAGCTTGGAAACACGGCAATGATAGAGAATATTGAGCAAGCCGCCAACGTTCGTGCATACTTCGGTGAGATTATTCATTCATTCTAGTAGTGTTCATTGTTTAATTTATGCATTATTAGATATGGACATTATGGATGTAGAAGAAGATTTGGTTGCGGAATATGAAGACATTACTTTGTCTCAGGTATGAATTTATCTTTTTCTTCTACTTGCAAGCATATAACAAAATAACTTAATTGTAGGATGCAAATATGCCGTTTACCACCGAATATGAAACAACAACTGGTTTTACGGTTTGTAATATTATGGCTATCTCCACAACCTTTGTGAATCATGACTGACAATATATTGATGTTAGACCCCACCACCCCCATCACCAATATTACCTGTCCATGTGGAACCTCATCATTCAGTGTCTTCTTCAGCATCCTCATCGGCTGAATTCACCCAAATACTTCCGGCAGCCTCATATCCATCTTCTGCGTCCAAAGCCCGCATGCACCAAGCGTCGGCAGTACTTCGAAAGCTCAAGTTTTTCCTCAAGTTTGACTATCCTCACAAGCTTTTTGTTGAGAACCGTTTTATCGGCCCACTCAAAGAATACAAAGATGAAGATCGAAAGCTGATGAAGCTGGTTGCTAGAGACCTGGATGGATATCTCCCTTTCCCCCGTCGTGCACCATCCGTACTTCATGCGATGTCAACTGGGCTCGCTGACCGTCCCCTGGATCAATCATTGCTATTCAGTGCGATCGCTTTCCGTGCGGTCTTTTTCAAATCTCAATATCACTTCACTCACGACACCTTCCTTCGCAATCTGGACGATTACAAAACCCGCGTCAATCAGCAACCCTCAAAATTGTCGGCTCTTATCACTCCTGGCGTGAAGACAGACGATTACTGGGCGAATCCTAATATGTACAGTGGAGGTCCTCACAAGCCTTCAGTGGAGTACCTCGAACTATATTGGAAATCCGTGCACGCTGTCTATCCACCTCATAAAGCCTTCAAACGGCCACCTATCTCAGCATCAAAGCAACTTCCATTCAATCTCTTCTGGAAAGAATATCTTCTTTTCAATCGAAAAATAGAACGAAGCGGAGAGAAGGTCAATCTGTTTAGGAATGTGGGCGGCTTGATTGGGTATCTTTGTGCTCTGGATCTTTCTTATGCTGGTCATGTGGAGAAGCCAAGTATGGATGATGTTGTCGAAGCCATGACCAAGGTTAACTCTGGAGGAGTTAGGGGACTGATTGCGATGGGTTTACTTGAGAAGAGGGAAGGAAAGGTGTCATATACTGCGGAGGAAGTCAGAGCTGCTTTTTCGGTTTGGCACAATTTTTTGGATGTACATCTGTCGGAGGAGGAGAAGAAGGACATGGTTTTTGATTGTCCCATGTCTGAGCATTCCTCTTGCAAAATTTCCAAGTTTGCATCCGCTCGAGGCAAGGTTCTAACTTTTGATGACAACTATACCTATACTCCATGTGCTTGCTGTAGTTAACTTGTATGTATTGCACTAAATTACTGTCTTGCTCCTGTGGAATGTGAGGCTTATTGCATTTCCTGATGATGAGTGCTTTGATTCTTAGTGTACTTGCACATATTCTTCTTATATTCTTGTTTATTTATATACCTTTTGCCGCTGTTGTGATCATGTATCACTTGTGCTTGATCTTATTTTGCAAGCACCAAAATGTAGTGCCTTGCCTGAGGTACGCATCATAACTATGAGCTCAAACCCCATGGTACTAACTACCCTTCTCTAGTAAACACCATAACAATGATTCCCCAAGTAACTACACCGGGGTATTGTTGTCGCTCAGATTCAACCTGCCCATGTTTAAACTCCCGGATCCATTACTGTCTCCTAATGCTCCTTCTTTCTGTGCAGCCATGCTCACATCTTCTGAATCCTCCTGGGTATCTGCGGTTCGTAATTTCTTTGTTAAAGTTTCTCCAGTCAATGGTGAGGACTGAAGATATCCAATAGGTCGCTTGATTGTTAAGCCTCTCTCTGGTTTGTGGTAGTTGTCTCGCACACGTATAATTGATTCGTAGGTCTGCTCTTTTAATCAGATGGTAACCATCCATATATATATCAGTATTGACGGACCTGTTGCATGGCATTATCAAGCATAGCTATACTCTTCAGTTGACAGATCAAGCGGTGCTGTGGAGTCTTGCCTCCAGAGGGTACCGTTTTGAACGCGATCTGAGCCTGTACTATCTGACCAGCTCTGAACTGTGCCGGATTGAAGCATATGAACTTGCAATCGTTTCTATATAAGGTCAGTCTATTGTTATTCATAGAGTAGGTGTATATGACTCACTCAGTTTTACGACGGTGCATGGGTATATATTGGTAGTACCCCACTTCATTGGCAGGCAGATGAACCATGTTGGATGTGGCTGCGCGGGTAAGATGGTGATGTGGATCCACATTTGATGCAAAGGGTATGCTGGGCTCGCCATTTGCATGTTGAATGGGTGTAAAATAATGGTTTGAGTACTCCTTTGAAGTCATATTAGAGTCCACTGCATTGATTATGTCCCAAGCTTTCAGTGTCCCTTCCTTATAACTGGCCGACATCTTCTGATGGATGATTCGATTGCTTGGCGATCTTCGACAAAATGCTTGTTTCCCCATCCATGGATAACTATGCTCTGTTTAGCAAACTGAACGCGGCGTGGAATGCTGCGTCTGTGAGTTTTTTGTATACTTCTTACATAAAACTGTGAATGACTTACTCTGTTTTTGTGATGATTGGAGGAAGGGTAAAATCCCACAGTACACCCTGCACGACGAATATTGCTTCAATACCTTCAGACTCCGAGCTTCCTTCATTGAAAAGAAGGGTTGAATTTCCATCTGCATCCGTATATATGTTGGTGCGTTCGTCAAGTGTTTGCAACTATAGTTTGAACGGTGAGCTTATGTGGATTGACAATATATGTGAACTCACATTCTTCAAGGGATAAAGAAAGTTTGAAGTATCCATTTGAGCTCTGACCTTGGCCAGGACACCATCGATATGTGCAGCTGCATAACATCAGTACCTTCATTTATTATTTTATACGTTGAACTGAACTCACTGTTCTGAGAAGATTCCATATAGTGACGGAAGTCGGCAACGTTGAAAGTCATGTTGGATACTGACTTGTGCAAAACGTAGTTTATTTTGATGTGAAGTTAGGACTGAGAACAAAAGACGGTATGTCATCTCTTATACATTTTTATGTTGCGGCATGTTTTTCTGATCTAGGGTTGGGAAACGACTTCAACCGTATCTGGCTCGATCTGAATATGGCTGCCATTAATTCATGTACGATCTATGGACGGAGTTCATAGCAGTACGGTGGAAGGATTTCATACCAGCACGGTGGAAGCACTAGCACCGATTGAATGTTTGAGGGTAACCTATTTCGCTTGGTCTGTGTGCCCCTCTCGCTTGTCTCGCTTACCACTTGTGGCGTATGTTTTAGGTTCTTTACGTCGCTTATTTTGTTTCTTTTTATATGAAGCCTGCACAATACGCAGAATCCACGGATATTCCCCGAGTCCCTTGTCAATTGACTTATCCTCAAGTTACTTCTGGTTATACTTAAACTGCTCGTCATAGAGTCCTTGGGTAAGAACCCTATTTTGTTCCTGGTCGAATACGATGTTAATATCAACCCAATACAGTATCTACGACATCTGTCATACACATTCAGTGACTGTGTCTGCCTAATAATTCCACATATCGGTACGATATAGTCTTTGTTCATGGTTTTATGTCGCTCATATTCTTAAAGCTCCATATCTGTCCCCTCAACATGGCATTCAGAAGACCATTGCGCAGTGTCGAGCAGCGTTTCAGGTAAGCACAATTCATTGTACTCCGTCTGTGTGTATTCCGATGACTTACGGATATATAGGGTTGATGCTCTGAGAACCATGTTGCCAGAGATACTACTCACCATCATGTTGTTCCTCCCTATGAGCGATATTGCTACCTGCACACAAGTTTGCCAATCGTGGCTTGGTCCTGCTATACTTCATCTCTATCGGGAACTCGATTTTGGTTTTTTTGCGGGAATGCTATGCCTGCCTTTCATGTACGATGTACCAGATCCAACTGAACGCAGACTGGTATGTCATAGTAAATTTCGTCTTCACGTGCATTATGGCTTACGATTGCAATATGTGCTCCCAGGTCATCCCCAAGGAGGTAATTATCCCGAAGTGGCGCTGGGACCTATACAAGCCTCTCTTCGTACACACCAAAGCACTGTATGACAACTCCGTTTATGGTTATCGGGGAATGACGCCGGAAAGCATAGATGTCATTGCTCGCAGCTGGTACTTTGGACCCATGTTCCCGAACCTCGAACATCTTTATCTTCGGTCGTCATCGCTTATCCCAGTCTTCAACTCTCCAGCCCTCAAATCCGCCCATAGCATGCCTGCTGCCGCTCGTGATACCAATATCAGCTTCCTTGGCGCTCTCAGTGAAACAGCAATGAACAGCCATAGTCTTACGGAAATCATGATCATCCCAGGCGAGGTCGACGAGGGTCCTATCGTCGACCACGATGAAGTCCGAATCGCAAGTATGAACGCATATACCATGTCCAGAACACTCATCTGCATCTCACTTCCCCTCTACTATCTCACCCCGTGCCTTCTTCACATACTCTCAGCTCTTCCATGCCTCGAAATCATCGACATGGTCACCAAGACGAGCGCATCCCCTACACTCGAAGATGGCTGGACGGGCCCGATGGATGCCGTTGGATCCTTCCGCACTTCTCAGGATAACTCATTCCCGATGTTACGCGCTGGATCCTTCCCTATGCTCCATACCATCGGTATTGCATTCAATAATCCCATGGCCGCGGTCGAACTCCTTCGCAAACCCCACTTCCCTGTTGACCGCATTTCGCGTTACACTATTCGTATCAGCGGCCAAGCATACACCAACATGTCGGTTGGTATTCGTCTCATCATTGAAACCCTTGCGCAGAGGAAGAGTCCGGTTACGGACCTCACCATTAATACCGCTGCAGCGAGTGGCACACCGGTCAGCGCCCTATCCCACCACGATGTGATCTCATATTACGATCTTGTCAAATTACGCGAACTATCACATCTTCTCCGATTTCATCTGGTACACAATAGCCCAGTCAACATCACGAACCATGGACTCACCCTACTCATCAAAGATGGGAACATCAAATCGCTCATTCTTAATCCCAGCCCACTCATCTATACTCTATCTTCTCTCACTCTGGATGTACTCCTTGAAGTCGCAAGGAACTGCCCAACAATACGCGAGTTAGGCTTGTTTCTGGATACCTCCACAGGCGACCTCACATTACCCACATTTGGCCCTGTCATGTCCAGACTGGAACACCTTCATCTCGGAAACTCCTTCATAACTGTTGGTGATCACAGAAGATCAAGACAGATCACAAGCTTCCTGTCAAACATCACAAACCAACTTCCTTTCATCCTTATGCCCCGTGAGCAAGAGCCCCGACTGGACGCAACCTTTCACCGTATTGTCATCGTTGACCCGACAACGCTTGGTTTGGAATATGATGGTGAGGATCAGTTACCTTACTTAGATGAAGAGTGGAGGTTCGTTTGCAACAACTTAGAGTCGGTCAGGGAACGGGATTTGGCGTTGGTAGAGGTGGAATGTCTCCGTTATAATATCGATGTATTACATATGACGTGTAGGAGGCTTGAGAGTCAGTTGGTTGTTGCTAAAAGGCTACCCCATCAAGTAAAGTCTACGCCCTTCTTCTCCAAATAGTTTAACCAGCTCTTATTGTTCTTTGGCCGACATCCGAAGGGAAGAAAGAGACTTAGCACAGTAGAGCATCTGCATGAGCATGAGAATGACTTGCTTCTGAGAGTCCGCAAAATTCAGACCCTTAAACATGGTGTCAGAAATATTGGATAGAAAGAGAGGATCATATTGTCCTCTATACCGTCCACACAACGTAGAGCCAAACAAGACGTCGGATAGGCTAGCGTCACAGGCAGTGGTTCACATATTCGATTAGCAAAGCAGCAGTCAGGAGAGTCGACATAAGGAACAGGAGGGTGAGAAGGTGACAATAGTTTAGGGATATCCAAAGGGTCATGAATGCTGGCGTAGCGTGGAGCTACAAGATAGATAGGTATAAACATAATGTACAGGTGTGGGAAATTTGACAAGTAGAGACGTACCAACAAGTATGAACTAGTCACTCCCAAGGAAGTTTATTGTGCCCGTTGAGCTTGTCATTGCCCTTCTATTGCTGTATGGAGCCTTTGACAGGATCTGTCTATTGAAGTTGAGCAAAGTAATCTTCATATCTGGTAGGTAAAGGTGGCTCTGTTTGCGCTCTTTGCCCGGCTCAGGTTGCATTAACGTCCAAGCAAGGTTAGGTGGCTGAGGTTCAAGGTCAAATGTCAGAGTGAGAGTGAGAATGAAGTCCTTGTCAGCATAGTGATTGTGTATCTGGAGGTCGAGCATCCTCCATACCGGGCCTGAATGTGAATGGGATATCAATGCCTCTATGATGAGGCCCATGTCATACAGGTGCTCTTGAACATCTTGCATCCCCTCGATGGTCAGTCTCAGCTGGGGGGCGGTATTGTCCTCTTTGATGTGATTCCAATTGCTGAATGCATGGTGAGGCTAAGTGTATAGGAATATGTATCAATAAAGACAGGACAATAAAAGGTATTAGATAATAGGAAGAAAGACATACCATAAAAGGTCATATCCCAATTGTGACAGTCTCCTCCATTAGTGTGGTTGTGCGAGCAGGAGGAATTTGGGCGGGTGAATGGTGAGCGCTTGAAGCTCGTGATTGATGAGAGTTGGATGATTGTGTGGTGCTGAAGAGCTCGACCCGCTGAAGGAATTGTTGGGAGAAGGAGCGACTGCAGATGTGCGGGTATTCTGGATGTTGGTAGCAGCACCACATTGACTACCTTTTTTGGTTGTATGAGAGGTGGAAGCGGTGGTTGCATGGCACGTATAGCTTTTGATCCAGCGGTCATTGGTGGTTTGTGAGCATTTGATCTGGTGGTTGTTAGTAGTTTGTATGTAGGCCTGGATGGGAGGGGCACGGGCAATAGAGGCTGCTCTGGATTGATTTGGCCAGGATGACAACACCATAGAAGCCAGAGCAGAGCTGATGATAATGAAGTCAGCGGTGGAAGGAAGGTGTCAGTGTGACTCTCAAAAAAATTTACTTGGTAGCAATTATGCTAGATACGGAGGAGTCCAGAGGTCCAGGCCACCTGGTATTTCCTGAAGCGTCCGGTGACGGCCTGATGTGATTACGCCAGACAGTTATACAGATGCACATTGTCTCAATCGTCCATATGATCTTGTCCTTCAAAAAAAAAGTAAATATACCAAGCCACTTCTAAAGGCCCAAATGACATACAGAGTAGAAACCCCCACAATCACCATCTCGGACTCCAAGTCTGGCAAAAGCCTGATTATCTGAGTGGAACTGAGGTATAGGTGCTCGATGATGAATCCACTTGTGACCACATATACACTATTCACGTAGATGTCAAACAAGCTAAGGAAAGTTCTGAGTCAATTGTGATAATAAGAATAATTGCATGGATATTAGAGGAGAATAGAGTCCGTACGTATACTGGTCTGCCGGAAGCGTCGAGGATGCAGAAGTCCGAGCAATCGTTGACGTCTTCGTCACATAGCAAGCATTGGCCACAAGATTCAAGGAGCCACCCGTAAGATGTAAAAGGCGTAGAAGACATGACAAAGGTAGGGTGGTCAAGTCAGTGGGTCGAGTCCTAGGCAAGGACCAGGCTGACTTCTTAAATTCCTCAAACTCATAGGAAGGCCAGCCATGGCCGACAGTGATCGACTGTGATGCAAAATTTACAGTGGATAGATTAACTCAGGAGTAAGCAGATTGTCGAGACATTGAGAAATTTGCAGTAGAGGCAGAAATGGACAGGGGGCCACTCTGATCACGCGCCAGCATCTATGATCACCATGGGCCATGCCCAGGGCATGCCACAATTATATCCATATGAGTACCTGTATCCGTGGGAACAAGTACCTGTTCCCTCAGAGGCCACACCTGTATCAAGGATGGCATATGCGTACCACCAGTGGAGAGTACTAGGTGGACTACCTTGATGGCATAGCCGTGCAAGGCACATTCATGTGATTTACTGACGTTTTCAGACCATTCACAGGTTTTTCCGGGATTTTCGAGACCGCCCTCAAATCGGGCACACCCATTACCTCCACGCTCAACTCGCAGGCCACCACCCTATCTCACAGCATTACTGTCACCATCCCTACTATCTCTCCAACATTAAATCTCACCACCCTATCTCACAGCATTACTGTCACCATCCCTACTATCTCTCCAACATTAAATCTCACCATCAACACTTCTACATCGGCCTCCACCTCCAATCTGTTCACATCTTCATCTTCCCAGACTGACACAGTGGTGAAGAGTGTGGTGGCGGGCGGCACTGTATCGCGAGTGGTCTGTTCCATCTAGACAAGAGGAATGGATATGTCAGGTCAATCTTCCTCCAAGTCATCAACACCTGGGAATTTTCCGCTCTCAAACAGACAAAGGATATCAATATTGTGAGTCTGGAAGAGCTCAACGAATGCAGTGCAGGAGTTTGACATCTGTGATCAAACAATGGCCTCCTCGGCCGCATATTGCCCAGCTGCCCAAGCCTCTGGAAGTGATGGTCGAGGGCTGCTGTGCTGGTGATCTTGAGACAACGCTGGCCACTGTCAAGATCTGTGTTCCAAGCAAGAGCCGCGTCAATATTGACTGCATGACCAAGTCGGTCCACACCCTGGTTATACCACATGCCAGAGTCATGAGCACCAAGCATACAGCGCCCAAACAGCTTCTCTAAGTGACCGTCTCCTAGTTTGAAGAGATGAAAGCTCTGTGACGGATCAAGGATCTACTGCTTTGCAATGCAGAACATGACATTATTGACCATGGATTGTGAGTCGCCGTAGAGTTGATTTGACATGAATGCCAGGTGATTCTGTCGGAAGAGAGCGAATGTGAGGTGTGCGTATTTGCTAAGATATTAGACCTGTTTGGTCAGCGAGAGCTCCGGATTGGTGTATGCTTCAAGTATTGATTCGCAGAGTTCTAAGGAGAAGTCGAATAGCGTCAAGATCAGATATGATGTCCGGGTTCCATGAGTCTAGTTTGAGAGATCAAAGAGACACCATAGCCTGCATGAGCTTGATGGCATGGGGCGCGTCTTGAGGGCCCAATGGATAGTGTAGTTTATTCATTGAATCAGAGTCCTTGACCATCGAGGAGTTGAAGATAGCGGGAGAGTGTGAGGGGGGTAATCAAACGTCCAGGACCAAGCAGAACCCCAGTTCCAGCTCGGATGAGCGTGCAGATTCCTAGAAAGAGGAGGTACATTAATTGATGAGGCTCGCAATGGTAACTCTGAGTCCTGTCAAGGACGTACACTTATTGTCGTCTTTCCAATCGAAGTCGAGAGTGACCTCTCCCTCACCCGTGAGAAGATTGAGCTCATCGAGCTAGCTGAGAGTAGGGTGTGTAGGTGACGTTGGAGGGAGTGGGTTCTTAAAGAAGAGGGCGTAGCCTGCTTTATGCCGAGTGGCATCACCATCAGTGGTGACTGACCAGAGTGGCCTAAGCAATGTGGAAGTGATTCGGTTATACAAAGAGATGACCACCTGACTGGCCCTCTGCTAGTCGTTTGGGCTAGGTCGACCGAGGAGTAGTATGTGCGTAGAACCAGGTCGCTCAAGAAACTACGAGAATGCTTCCAACAGAGGCTGCCGACCATGTTTGAATTCCGGAAATGGCAAGCAGCCTCTTTGATAGCGACCTCGTGAATGAGAGCATATCACTCGCGCTACCAACCACGGGCTTCACAAGAACCTCTTGCATGTTGTGATCGACCACAACGTGGGTGATATCGCCGACAGTGGGCATAACACGGATAAAGGAGAGGTGGTTCTGGAGTGTGCGGAGAAATGGGGGTCCAAGTGCATGGTTCATTGCATAGAGGAGAGGGCGGCCACTGATGCGGTATATGAGTGTGGAAATATCGAGCGCCCAAGCAGAGATGATACAAGGATGATCAATGCCTTTAAAAGCTTGTTCAATCTGTGTCGTGATAGTCGATATGCTAGCCCCGTTGCACAGGGCAGTTTGAACCAAGGTACTAATTTGTGTGATGTCCATTTCGGCGATGGCCATGGCGAAATGCTGATAGTCTATAGTCTTACGGGCGGTGGCGGCAACTGAACGGGTGAGATTGAGTGTCTAAAGAAAATAATCAATGTCATTGAATCGAAAAAACCATAGGATGAACATACCTTCAGCTTCCAGTGATTCAAAGTCTGCATACGGTCGAGTAGTCGTGAACGTAGTTAAAGGCTTTACAAAATGGCTTGTGAGGAACCTTTGCTGTCTGTGCATCTGAAATAACCTGGCCAACTTGAGCTGTGATTGACCACCATGAAAGACAAGGAATCTTTGCATCCTTTACCCTCTCAGAACAACTATGAGAAAATGCAAAGAAGCCTCGGCCAAGACATCGAATCCCAAGGCAAAATGGGAAACACTCTGGTCTAGCAGTAGGGCTTAGGCGTGACCAGGGAAAGGTGTCATGTGTGTCGAGCTCGGGTGTGTCCGGAGTATTACGACGAGACAGAGGGAATTTTCCTGATATTTTAGCAATTTTTCCGGGACTGATAGGACCACTTACTGCAGAGTTACAGTACCTACCAAAAGTCCGGTCATCCCCCCCATCCACAGCACATTTACAGTAAATCAGCAGGATACAAGTTGTTGGAAATATACGGTTCATTTCAGCTGATTGAGCTATACGTGCTGGAAGGTTTTCATGTTCAATCAGTTTGTGGGATGGTGCAGACAGGCGAGGTGACACGATGACAGAGGTGGGCCACAGTTGCACAATGTAAAAGAATGACTTGGTACGGTAAAAGTAATATAGGCAAAGATACCACAAACTAATAAGAGGTATTCCCTGCCTTCATGTCTAAAACCTCATCGACTCGAGAAGGAAGAGAAGCATACAATTTCTGAATAAACTCGACAGGAGTCCGAGACCACTCCTCCTGCGCTGCAACCCAAAGTTCCTCCTTATTCCTCCGTAGATGGGGTCGTGCACTATGCGACGACGGTCAAGTTCGCTCCAGACATTCTCAATGATGTTGATATCAGCGCTGGAGGCCGGCCAGGGCAAGACATCTATGCCCTGATCAGCCAGCCAGGCCTTGACACGCTTGGCCTTGTGCTTCGGGTTGTTGTCTTGTTGGAACACGAATGCACTGACATCCACCCCAAGATCCGTGGCAGTACCCAGCAGGCCTCTCTCCAAGATGGACTGATACTGAGCCCCATGCATATTCCCCTCCACACGCACGAGCCTCCCAACACCTGATGGTGTGATCAGGCCCCAGACCATGATATGCCCACCTCCGTGCTTAACACGCTTCCGCGTGAACCGAGGATCATATACCTCTGCCCCGGTTTCCTCACCCTCCTCGCCTTGAAAAGAGGGATCATAGTCTCATCAGAGAACCATATCCGAAGCCATTGTTTCTCCGTCCAATCCAACCTCTCCTTTGCCCACTTCCTTCATGCCTTCACATGTTCAGGCGTAATAAGCGAAACCGACTCACGAACCTACTCCTTGAGGCCGGTTCTATACAGTGCACGGCGGACGGTGTTTGGGTGGCATTGCTTCTCGAAGAATTGATGGTGGGCATCAACAGCGTCGCAGGCGGCTCCTGAGCTCAGAGCGCGAGCAGCTCGAGGAATAGCGCGGGGTGAGATTTTGATGGGGCGACCAGGATGGTGTGCCTTGAAGTAGAAATCGGGGTTTTTGCGATACCCGGCGATGATTCGGGGAACAGAATGTGGATGGATGCTGAATTGACTGGCAATCCACTTGTTTGTGCAGCCTTCGGCTTTCCAGGTGACAATGCGAGCCTTTCTGGTCGGTGTGATAGGAATAGCCATGATGAAGAATGTGGTATATGAAAGAGTATAAAGATATTGACAAGAATATGCAAGTGTGAGTGATGGTTCTGGATAAGACGGGAAGTGGTGCTGCAACAAAGGGTGAATGTACTCTCACATGGTGCCGCCATCACAACTCGCCACTCAAATTCACCAACATCATCACACAGAACTCGATAAATTTTTTATACATGTATGTACACAGCACATTGTCACCTATCTAATTACCGTACCAGTTTGGCTCATTGGCCGGAAGATTATAGGGAGCTCACTAAATAGGGGTGTATGACCGGACTTTTGGTGGGTACTGTATCACTTTAGTTATTTCGCCACCAAGCGATCCGCAGAGCCCCGGATTCCGCGCCTCGGGATCCGCCCCTCTGCGTCCCGTTTAGGCGGTTACTTTTCCAACTGTATAGTAGACCGGTAAGCGCCGGAGCGCGTCCTTTTAACTTGTGGGAAGTGTCCTTGTCTCTTCAACATTGACAGTGACGCTTCTCACAGGTGAGTCTTACTATAGATTTCGTCTCTTTCTCTTTCTATTACTTTGTGAGGGCAATATCATTGACAGTGACGCTTCTCACAGTCGTTCTTCGAGTGCTCGATTATCTGCGCCTCAAAGGTTATGGGCCCTGCGCTTTAAATCGCCTCAGAATGTTCCGCTTAGCTCCTAATTGATCTCTGAGACTCAGATCTCTCTCTATTGGCCTCAGAACGAGTTCTTTGCTTCTCTCTCTTTGCGCTAGACTCGTCGTCATCGATATCTACACCCTGCATTCCACTTATCGTTTGGACTAATTTTGCGCCTCTTATCGACGTCTCCAATCTCACCCCTCAGACCAAAATCGCCTCTTCATCGATTAGCTTCGTTTTGCCTCCCCTTCATCGCTATCGCCTCCGTTCCTTCACTATCCTATCCGCCATCATGTCCGACGACAACTGCGCCGTTGACAAGCTCAATCGCCACAACTACAGCTCCTGGGTCGACAATGCTGAAGCCGTCCTCGGTTCTAAGGGTGTTTGGGGCCACGTTGATGGCACTGACATCGCTCCTACCCCTCCCAACGCCTCGGCCATGACCGCGTCCGAAGCGAAGGAGATGAGGGAGTGTAATCAGAGGAAGGCGAATGCTAGTGGGGAGATTTGGTTGTTGGTTGAGGAGAACCAGAAGGCGCATATCAGGAAGGAGAAGGGAGATCCGAAGGCGATGTGGGAGAAGTTGGCGAGTCTCTATGTGCAGAAGAAGACTGGTATGCGATTCGACACTTATTCCGAACTCTTCTCCACTCGTCTCCAAGAGGGAGAGTCCCTCTGCGACCTCGTTGCTCGCGTCGACCTCTACATCTCCCATATCAAAGAGCGCCGCCCTGCCAAGTTCTCCCTTGACGACCTCGACTCCGAATTATCGTCCATGACGCTCATCAAAGCCTTGGGCTTCATTCGCGTTCGCTCCCTTCCCTCTACCTCTACCACGACCCACGCTTCCCTTGGCCTCCAGAATGCGAGGACAACGATCCAGACGACTTCTGCTTGGCCAATGACGACGCAGACTTCATCTCAGGACAATCACGAACGATGTGGGAGGGGGAGTCGCAGAAGTAGCAAAGGGGCTTGCTTGAGAGCGGCGGCCATGGCGAGGTCAGGAGTATCTTCGTTCTGCAGAGCACGACGTTTGCGAGATTGCTCCTCATTGGAGAAGGCTTGGGTGACATTGTCAAGGGAGAGGTCGTCAGAGAGAGTAAGGAAGGTGACGAAGTTGTTGTAATCGGAAGGAAGGGAGGGTCTTCTACACCGTTGTCTGGTTCGGGAGAGACCCCTAAGGAGAAGAACGCCGGTGGAGCAAGTGCTCTTTCATTATCTCGCCCCGCTTGGCTCCGTTCTCGTCCAGCCACTGACTGGAACACAGACACAGGCGCCTGCTCGTACTCTCCCCACTTCGTGCCCATTCGTTTGGTCGACAACTCAGTGATCTATTCTCAGGGATGGGGTCTATCGAGTTTGTTCCTATTGTCAGTGGTAGAGAGTTGCGTCCTGTAGTGTTCCACGACGTTCTGCACGTTCCCAAGCTCGCCTTGAATCTATTATTGTTATTCCATGTCTCTGTGAGCAAGGGCTATGAGCTTCACATCGTCGGGCGTGACGTCGCTTTCAAGCGAGCTGGAGAGCTGCTTTTTACCGCTTCTATCGTCGATGGCAACATCGGTTATCTCAATGGGCGTACTTCCTCCTTTGGAGTTCATCAGGCGCGTTTATCTTCTACTTTGCCACTCGATCTCTCTCTCTGGCACCGCCGTTTCTCTCATACCAGCTACGACGCCGTGATACGCATGCATACACTCAGGCTCGTTGACGGCCTAACCATTTCTTCTTCTTCTACGGCTGATCCTATCTGCGAGCCTTGTCTTTCAGGGAAGCAACGTCGTCATAACGTTCCCAAGACCGCTACTCGTCGCTCTGATCTCATCCATAGTGATATCAAAGGTCCCCCTCCCTCCCACCAGCACGGGGTATCGCTATTGGGTCACGTTTATCGACGATGCTGGACGTTTCAAGGCGGTTCGTTCTTGAAGAAGAAGAGTGAGGCTTTTGGGGCTTTTGGGGCTTTCAAAGTGTTCAAGGCGTATGCAGAGAAGGCGCTAGGGAGAAGGATTAAGATATTGAGGGACGATAAGGGAGGAGATGTCAGGAATAGAAGCTCAGAGGGGGCTGATGGCCCAGCACACACAGATACAGACACAGATATGGGGTACAGAGACAAGGGTAAGGTTATGTACATAGACGAGTTTTTGCAACCTAACCCTAACCCTAAACCGGGAGAACTCCGAACTGTGCCACAGTGGCCCCACAAACGTCCGCCACAACCACAACCGACACCAGACAAGTCTCTCAATGAGAACGCCATTCAGCAACGCAACGATCGTCCTCCTCATCGCACTCCTTCTATCCCACCTCGCTCAGTATCTCCGGATCCTGTTCGTCTTCCTACTCCTCGATTCCAGACGCCTCCTCGGGTGGATAGGCCACTTACAGGCGACGATAGTCCTGATCCTTTGGCAGCGACTCCGGATACTCCCACTTGGAGAGAAACTCGGATTCCGGATCCTATCTTGGAGTCGGAGGATGAAGATAGCGATGCCTACGACTCTGCTGCGCTGGTTTCGACCGGATTGGACTTTATGGGGACGGAGTATCTCACCCTCGATCAGGCCTGCGAGTTTGCCCATGCGCTGAAGACGACGTCACACGATGGAGAGCCTAGATCGTTCAAGGAGGCAATGAAGCAGGAGCCGAAGGAGAGGCAGAAGTGGTGGGAAGCGGCTTTGAGCGAGATTCAGTCTCTGGTGGAGAATGGGATGTTTGAGCTGGTCGAGTTACCAAGGGGAGCGAAGGCGATAGGGAGTGGATGGGTTTTTAAGGTGAAGCGGAACGCGGACGGTTCGATTGAGCGGTATAAGGCGCGTTTGGTGGCCCAAGGCTTCTCTCAGCGTCCTGGATCCGACTACCATGAAACCTTCGCCCCTACGCCTCGCTGGGCAGCTCTACGCGCCGTTCTCGTCCTAGCGGCCTTCGAGGATCTCTATCTAGAGAGTGTCGGCATCTCATCTGCTTTCCTCAACGGCACGCTCAAGGAGACCGTGTTTATGCGCCAACCCGAGGGATTTGAGGAGAAAGGAGCTGGTTGGGTGTGGAGGTTGAAGAGGTCGTTGTACGGGTTGAAGCAGGCTGGAAGGGTTTGGCATGAGACGTTGAACGAGAGGTTAGAGGAGATGGGATTCAAGCGGATTCTCTGTGAGTACAGTATCTGGGTGTTTGGTCGAGGGGATTTGCGCATTATCATACCCGTCTTCATTGACGATATGACGATTGCTGCAAAGTCCAAGGCTGAAGTCGACCGGGTCAAGTTGGAGCTCAAATCTCACTTCAAACTTCGCGATCTTGGTTCTACCTCCTTTCTTCTAGGCGTTTCTATCGAACGGGATCGTCCCAATCGTACCATTCGCCTCTCCCAACGCCAGTACGTCTTAGACCTCCTTGATCGCTTCAACTTCTCCGATTGCAGTCCGGTTTCCACTCCCCTTGATCCTTCCATTCGCCTTTCCACCTCCATGGCGCCCCAGTCGTACGAAGAAGAGTTGCAGATGCGCTCTATTCCTTATATCAATGCGGTCGGAGCCTTGGCGTACCTTGCAATCGCCACTCGTCCAGACATAGCTCACTAGTCTTATTCTCTCAGAGGGGTCGGCACCGTAGGTCGAGGTTCGGCGTTAGGAGCCACGCGCGGAGGCGGGAAAACAAACAAACGACGCGCCATGTGGCGCAGACGGGGATTTTCATGCTTGCTACCGTAGTTCAGACCGCTTTGTAACGAAATATATCGGCTCCGTGTTTACTGCTTCAACGTCTCGCTCAGTGTCTCGATGATCACCAGCTTTCGAAGTCCTGAAGGCCAAGAGCTTGTCCGTCAACTCGCAATCGCTGAGCTTCCGTCATATTACATACCCTACCACTATCAAATCGAAGGACTATGTGCCACTCTTGACGGACTTGATCTTGTTGCAATTATCGCAACAAGGGGCGGAAAGACAGCTTATACGTTCCTCGTACACCTCGTCATCAACGCTATCCATGCAGACATTTCACTCCCAATATCCAAGGAAGTGAGGGATAGGCTGCCTCGCCACCCGGTCTCACTCTTGCTCTTACCTACGAACAATCTTGAAGTCGAAAAGGTGTGTGCTCTTCTCACTGTGATTACATTATCGTCGTAGTGACACTGCACTAGGAGGTCGAGCTAAAGTCATTCGGTCTCGACGCTCTGGCTATCAACAGTGATACATTGCTTGCCGGTCGGGAGAGTGGCCGTGATCTATGGCAGTTGGCTCGCTCTATCGAAGTCATTATTCTGTCCCCAGAACAGTTAACCTCCGATTCATTCAAGCAGCTTTTGGATGATAGCGCATTCAGAGTTCGCTTGTACTTACTCCACGTCGACAAGTTCCATCTTATATACAAGTGGGGGCCAAGTTTTCGCAAGGCCTTCTATCAGATCGGTTACATGCACTCTCGACTACCAGACCAATGTGTTTGTGTCGCCACAACAGCCACACTACTCAAAGAGCGCAAGCAAGAAGTTTTCGCGCAGCTTCGTGTCAAGGAGGGCCAGTTTCACCTCATCCATCACTCGAATCATCGTGACGACCTCCAGTTTCTCATCCGTCCCATGAGCACGGGCATCGGCGGACGCACATTCCCTGATCTTCATTCGACACTCACCAATGGCCGACGCACTATCATAGCGTGCAACACCATCAACCTCGGCTTTCGTGTCCTCCTCGACTTGTACAAGCATGCTGGTCCATCCACCAATCTCATGAAAAAGATAAGACTCTTCAACTCCCTTAACGAGCCGAGCTACAACCAACAGACACAACACCTTTTTGAGACCAAGGATCCCGAGTCGCAAATCATTATTGCAAGAGATACACTATGCGTGGGCGCAAACATCCCTGGAATCGCCGACGTCATCATGTTCGGTGTAGTGGCGGACACAACCGACTTTGTGCAGTGGCCCGGACGTGCGAACCGTGATCATTCGCTTCCCTCAGCAAGGGGCATCCATGTACATCACACCCAAAGCGCGCGAACACGCCGAACAGGCTCTGAAACCCAAACCGCTGACACCGACGCCTCAGAATAAGAAGGGAAAGGCGAAGACGAAGACATCCTCGAAGGCGATTAATGCCACAAAATCAACCACTCACATGGAACACAGTATCGCCGCCATCATCATCGCTCCTTGCATTAACAGCGAACTCGACAGCCAATGTGCTAATCCACAGCACTCCGATCAGCGTTCCCCACAATGCAACAGTCACTCCCCCATCCGCGAATCCCAGTTGTATCTGCTCAGGCTGTCTAAACCACCGAAACGAGCCTGATCCACTAGCTCCATCTCCTCCAAATCCATCGGCGCCCACTGACTTTGTCTTTGTCATGGAGGACTCGTCCCCGGCGGAAATATCAAAGATCAAGCGTCTCACAATGGAGGAGATCGCATTCCTTACTGCGCCTTTCGAAATGACTTCGTGAAAGTGGAGTGGCCACAGCTGTCAGAGATCGCCGGCATGGACCTCGGAAACCTGCCTCCAGCGTGAAGCAGAGGTCCTTTAACTCTGTTCGAGTTGGACAGGCAGAAAGGCCGTAACATCATTTGCATCTTGGAACTACTAAGGAAAGAACATATATATGTATACATAAGAAATAGGCCGCATATTTACAGATAGTAATAAAGATATAAACACAAAAGGAGATAGACTGGGAGGAGTGAACGAAGAGTTCATAAACGATGCGCAACGAAAACAGTCCGACAAAAAAAACTCAGGAATAACGGAAAGCAGATCCTGATCAGAGCTGTCCACCATTGAGTAAGTAATCAGAGCAAAACTCTGGGATGTAACCCTCTGGAACCTTCAGCCAGTCGTCTGCCTCCTCAGAGAAGTACCAGTCCTCGTAATCGCGCTCGGGAGTAGGACCATCCCATCTCACGATCCGTGGACCGTAAAGCCTCTGCGCCCCATCAGCCCAGCGACGTTCAAACCGCACTTTCATCATATCTTCCTGCCGCCCGTCCGGTGATCCCCTTGCCGAAGCGCCACCAGAACCCTCACCCTCAGCAACTTCCGCGTCCACACGGGGACGTTTCGCAAGTGGGCCGTTCCACCAGACCGGTGCGCCTCGCTTCAACCGGAGGACATCTCCACGCTTGATCTTGAGCTCCGACATAAGCTCTGCATCTGTAACGCTATCGAGAATATCAGGCCCATATGCATGGGCTTCCATACTAAACTGCAAACAAGTCGCATTCGGGATGCCGAGCTCGGTCTCAGCGTACTTGAGGAATCGGGGAATCTTCGTGGGCGTCGGGCAAACTGGCGATGTCGGAAGCGGTCGAGTTTCGCGAGGAGGTGTGGATGGAGAGGTAGATGAGCGATTGCCGGAGGCACTGGTGGATTGTGCAACATCAGAAGATGTGCCAGCGTGAGCATCGAAGATCATAGTGACGATGTTCGAGAGATGAGCAAGGTCACTCTGAGCTGGACTAGGGCCACTGGGTGGTCAAAGAGGGCTGGGGACTCCCGCAGCGGCTGCTGCAGCTGCACGGCGCTCAGGATGGAGAATAGTGTCGTGGAACAGTGGACTGAATAAGTCACCGTCGTTCGGAGGTTCATAAATTGTGGCTGTTCCGTCATGCTGTACACTATATGAGTCCTCACAAAACTCGCAGAAAGCATCAATGCACGCACCAAAAAGTCGATCCACCTTGAGATCTGTGCAGCACTCAGACGGTAAGGTTCACCTGGCAGCTTTCGCTTCGATGGAACGAAAGTGAGCCCGCCTTCTCCGTTCGCATGCATACGCTCCAATTTCTTCATCCAGTGAGGCGTCATTCTCTCACGTTCGGTCAGATCTCCTAACGCCACATCATCATCCTAGGAAGGAGCATACGGGCTACGTTAGTATGCGCGACTTGCCGAAGAAACACGAGTCACGTACCGATGGAGCCTCCTCACTGAGCCGTTCTTCATTGTCCGAATCACCACTTGCATCCCCTCCTCTTCGGCGTAGCTTGCAAGAGTTGCCAATCACCTTCATATCCGCATAGACTGTGATCTGTGTCACGCCACCATCGTGCTCTTCGAGGCGCTGGTTCATCTTCTCCCATTCTTTGAGACTGTCGACATCCCGAGCCTTTGTCCTTTCATGCAGATTTGTCAGTGAATAAGCCCCGTACGTGCAGACCATGGGAGCATGTATGAGGAGAATGAGGCTTACTTTGCCTTTTCCGGTGGGATCAAAACCTTGATCCCATATGGCCTTCTTGCTGAGACACGGAACCTTGTCTCGTCATGGCAGCGAAGGATTTCTTTGAGGAAAGAAAGCCAGCTGCCCTTGCTCCGAGTTATGCTGGCTTCGAAGTCTTTGATTTTGGGAGGGAGCTTTTTCTGCTGGCCTTTCCCTTTTCCACGGGTTGCTGGCTGAGAACGCTCATAGTAAGCCATCTCAACGATGACATTGAGATTGATGGCTGGCTCGGCCGGAGGGGGGGTGCTAGCACGAGACATGAGAGTCAAAAATAGGACGAGAAAAAGCGAGAACAAGAGTGAGAGAGCGCAATGCTATTTGAGAGCGTGGAACATGCTGTGCGGTTGAAATAGGCCCCACCAATGACTCCACCAATGACGTGGCTTGAAATCATCACAGTGCTTACACTCAATACTGAAATTCCATTCAAAATCAATTGCTCAGGGAAGAAACAGAGACGAAATATCTAGTTACAATAACCACATGCCTTGAACCACTTGTATGCTTTCCACGGGCCCACATTATCACAAGCATGATGGATAGAAGAGAGGGAGAGAGTATTCTCCTTCCAATGACGACGAAGGAAAGCTTTGATGGAGGAGAAAGCGAACTCGATGGGGTTGTAGTCGGGGGAGTACGGAGGGAGAAAAATAAGTTTACAGCCTGTTGCGAAAGGTTGTAAGCAAAGAGTGGCCACACATCCAAGCTGATGGCATACCTGCATCATCTTCGACTAACTTACGTATCTCTTCCGAGTGGTGTATGGCACAGTTGTCGAGAACAATACAACTGCGAGGCCCAGGATAAGGATTGGTGAGAGGAATCTAGAGGGAAAGGCCCTTGAGTATTCATCATCACATTATGTGCCGAAGAGACCGGGAAGGAAACAGAGAGGATAGGGGGAAACACACCACATGTGTACGCAGGAACCTGCAGAACCGTTCGGCAGTGACAGATCCATCAATAATCTCACGAGCCACTATTCCATCAAGTGTTATGGCGGGTAAGATAGAATATCTATGCCCTCGCACAAAACATTGCCGCTGCCGTACCCTAGTCCCTCTCAATGACCAGCCTCTCATCCACCCCGGTGTCCTCTCATTCTTTACAGCCTCATCTAAAAACAAAAGCATGTTTGGGTCAGGAGCGACCTTACCAATCCTATACTTGAATACTGCTCTGCGTGCAGCATCCCGCTCCAACGCCTCCTTCGTGACACGCTTGTTGGTGTAATCGAGCTCCCGTAGTGTGGCAAGAAGAGTCGCAACGGAGACTTCAGTTCCAAACTTGTCTCGGAGAGCGTCTTGCATTTCGTCAAGGTAGGCACAGGGATTATGAAGAAGGAAGTGGTGTAGAAAGGAGACATGGGTGTAGTTCATGAGACGGCGTCGGCCAACGGTACGAGCATGAAGGTTCCACGGAACGCAATACTTGCCCTCATATTGGAGGGCTGCATACACACAGCTCTTGCGAATGCCGAGATACTTGCAGATCGACTTGACGTCGAGTTGGTATACATGGTAAAGGATAGGGATGCGTGCTTTGATCGCTCGCGAAACGATGTGTGGAGGCATCGTGATGGACGAGGGTAAGAGAGCTCGCACAGGCAGCGGGTATCAGAGGTCCATCGTTCGGCAATCTCCGACAGCTGTGGCAACTCCACTTTCACGAACTTGTGATTCCGCATCATTTCGAAAGGCACAGTAAGGCCAAGCTCGACGCCTTCCGTTGGTCCATCTGGAGATCCGCTGATCCACTCGACTTCGACCACATTCCTGCTCAACAGTATCTTCCCGACACATCCATCAGCAAGATCGTGAATGGCCTCCACACCTTTCAGTCGGCCACCGACCTCAATATCATCACAGACGAGATCTTCTTTCTGAGCAAGGCCAATGCAGACCACCTATGGCCGATGATTTTGGAGTTGAGGAGTAAGCTCGAGGTGTTGTCGACAGGGAAGAAGCAGTTTGCAGCAGAGAAGAGAAAGCTAATGGCGGCGGCAAGGAAGGAACAAGCCGCGGCTGAGAGAAGGCAGAGGATGGAAGCTGAAGAGGAGACGCAACGTCAGGAGACAGAGATCGTGAGGCAGGACGGATGTAGTGAATGAGTCTGTATATCGCATCCTGAACCAACGACAGGAGACTGCAATGGTGAGCTTGCAGTGGGGCAACGTCGCTCGAAGAGATCGTACGTCCGGCGAATCCATTATGTCGCCTTATGTCGTACTGACACAACTTATTACTTCTCTGCAGGCTCACGCTCACTTCGCTGGATTCGGCCCCAGAACCTGCAAACCCGAGTGTTGGTGGATCTTCGCACGAAGTGTCTGGTATCACAACGAGAGCCAGTCGAGGAAGGGGTCGTGCAAAATGACAAAAGGCATGATTTCTCATCATTGTGTACTACATTCCAACAGGTCTGATGATCTCTTCTCGCATAGAACTCCCAAGCATCTTAGTCATCAACGAAATACAACTCTGGATCACTTTGCACCCCTTCGTCGACTTCGCTCTCCGGCTCTTCATCAAGACCGTCATTTCCAAGTCCCTCTTCTTCCCAAATCGTACCATCTTCCCTATGGAGCCTATCTACTTCATCCACTACTCTCCCCAAGCGCTCTATATCTGTTTCATCTCCTGATAGCTCATCGTGTTCGATTTCCGGCTGTTCGTCGTGCTGTTCAGCGCTGTGCTGCACGGTGGTCTGGTATGTTTCACGTGCCCATCTCGCCAAGTGACGGTGATTCAATGTATCATCGAGGAAAGTCGCTAGCTTGCCGTCTTGTAATGCTGTGACTCCGCACTCGTAGCTTGCCACATCCTTTCCCTCCCTCCCATAGTCCCTTCCTGCGCGAAACTTGTGCAGTTCCTCAGCCCTGTAAATCTCCAGCAGCCTCTTGAACTCCGACCTTGTCTCTGGGAACGTGTGCGCACCACTCTTTTGTTTGAGGTTGAGTGCGTCTATGATGCCTTTTTTATATCCTCAAGAGCAAGGACATTTGGAGACTCGACCTCTTGGAGAAAAGGCCCGTCCCATCGTTCGTTTTTGTGATGAATCGATTTTTCAAGCGGTTTGTTTATGTGCTCCAACTTGAGGTCCCCTTCTTGAACATGCCCAGGCTCCCCGCTCGGATTGATCAGCAAGTTCTCTAGGAACCATTGCTTCAGTCGAGGTGGGTATTTGAGCTCCAGCTTGATGATCATCTCCAACAGGTATGTGGCATACTTGTGGTGAGAAGTGCCCCAAAATAAGATGCCCCAGTACTGATCAAATATGTTAGTAGGCTTTCGTGCATCGACGTTGCTCAGATGCGACGAACCTTCTCAATCTCCCACACCGTCCCGACAAGGCCTGCAGCCACTGCCTCTGACACAACTCTGTCCGGAGTATTACGACGAGACAGAGGGAATTTTCCTGATATTTTAGCAATTTTTCCGGGACTGATAGGACCACTTACTGCAGAGTTATGACTTTAGTTATTTCGCCACCAAGCGGTCCGCAGAGCGCCGGATTCCGCGCCTCGGGATTCGCCACTCTGTGTCCCATTTAGGCAGTTACTTTTCCAACTGTATAGTAGACTGGTAAGCGCAGAAGCGCATCCTTTTAACTTGTGGGAAGTGTCCTTGTCTCTTCATCATTGACAGTGACACTTCTCACAGGTGAGTCTTACTATAGATTTCCTCTCTTTCTTTTTCTATTACTTTGTGAGGGCAATATCATTGACAGTGACGCTTCTCACAGTCGTTCTTCGAGTGCTCAATTATCTGCACCTCACAAACTCGTGACAAGATGGTGTCAGTCATGAATCGTTTGGATTCAGCGAGGGCAGTGTCTCCGAGGAATGGTGGCGGTGTATCCTTCGGCTTCTCACCCGGCTGTTTGCCGCCATGCTTAGACTTTGATTTCTCCTTCTCAATGAGTCGTCTCATCTCCTCTTCCTCTGCCTCTTTCTTCCTTTTCTCGAGTAGCCACACTGGTAGAGTCCACAGTTGACCGTCCGGAATCTTTAGGCTAGGATGACCCGTGTTTGCGAGCATTGCGTTGTGATATGCTCCAAGGGAGAGTAACTTTGCAGCCTTCCCAAGGTCTCCGAAATACTGAAATACATCAGCCGTCTCGAAGTAAACCCTATTCAACAAAATCATATTGAGTACAGCGGTATGAGTCATGAAGCTCAAGCTCACCTGACACAATCCATCATTCGTGCATCGAGAACAAGGTACGCCGTGTGTCTTCCACTGTAGTAATCAACCTTGCTGAGATTTGACGGTGGTTTAACACCAATCTTGGACGCATTGTGTCCAAGAGACGACGGGGTTTTGAGGTCCTTGTCTCCCCAAAATGTCTCAAAAATTCTGGAGAGATTAGTCCATGCGGTATGCCACTGCTCGAGGAAGGGCTCTACAAGATCAAGCCGGTCGAATTCGTTCTCCTGGAGCTGCAGGTAGTCTATCAGTCGCAGTATCAGTTCGAAGGTCAGGCCATCCCCGATGAATATCTTTCGGCGCTGATAGGAATCCTTTGTCTGGCCAAGCTGCTTGAGGACATCTCGGATAGTGTCCTTCAGCTCGGCCAGCTGCTTCTCGTCCTTGGCGCAAGTGGCAAGGGGTCTGATCTCGGTACGATGAAGTGGCATGATGACCCCTGTGGCTTGAAGGCTCTCGGTCCTTATACGCTCGTGGATTTTGGGAAGAAGTGGTCGGAGCTCAGGGATGTAGGTCGCAATTGTTTTCGCACAGTGTAAAATCATTACTGAATGAATGTGTCGGGTATTGACCATTCGTAGCAGACTATCGGTTGTGAGGTTTTGTCTCTGGCCATTGTCGCTGTAGCCCCGCATTGCATCTATGGTGACTAGGTCCGGTATGTAGTCGATCATTTTCATTGCAAGGCCAGAGATTCCCATCATGACCTCATTCTCGCGGCTGAACCCTGGAATACGTGACTCGAAGAAGCTTTGGACATTGTCAATGCGCACGAACAGGCCAATTGCTGGGTCACGTCCCCAGACCCGAAGTAAGTAAGCATTGTCGAGGCCTTGTCGTCGAAGGGTAGTGATTACTGTGTTTTTGCTGACTGAATGTCCAGTGCGGCTCGAGTGACGAAATAGGATATCCTCTGCATCAGACACGAAGAGTAGGAGCCTATCTGCGAGCGGGAGCTTGTTCACATACTTGTTGTGCAAGAAGTTAATGGCGCTAAGAGCATAGATAGCTACCTGATTATCTCCTTGTCAGATGCAGTCCTGAACATACTTACATGCAGATTAATAACACACCTGTTCGGGGGGTCTGACCATTCTAACTGCTATGACTCCCTTCCGTGCCTTCGGTTCTGCAAGATGAACAAAGATCTTGTACATGAGATCTTGATGAGTCTCGAAGGTCATCATGACATCTTTCAGCATCTTCACGCTGATCTATTCATATTCTTGACCTGTAGCCATTGCACGCTTTGTCTGTGATGCGTGTAAGCCACTGGTTGGCAGTACTGCCTTGTTCCGCTCCTTTACAAGCTGTGCATGTCAGTTGTGGTTGTGGCGGACGTTTGTGGGGCCACTGTGGCACAGTTCGGAGTTCTCCCATTTTAGGGTTAGGGTTAGGTTGCAAAAACTCGTCCATGTACATACCCTTATCCTTGTCTCTGTACCCCATCTCTGTGTCTGTGTCTGTGTGTGCTGGGCCATCAGCCCCCTCTGAGCTTCTATTCCTGACAGTGCATAGGTGGTCTGCACAGCGAAGGATGTTATCGCTGGTCGAACCAACTTGATTTTGTCATAAGGAGTGTCGAGTGAGTACATCTGGACCTTTTCTTCTTCCGTCTTCGGTATCCCATCGGGTGTGCGAAGGAAGGCGTACAGCACATCTGATGGTGTGTACATTGACTGTCCACGGTAAAACTTGCTCATAGCTGATGCATGTTTGTGACTGCGATTAACAGGCTCCCCTTTCTCGTCTTGAAGACACATTGTATAGTAGAGAACCTTCCCGTACGACCAGCCAAGCTGTTCGTCAATGAACTCGAAGAACAGGTCGATCTTTTGGACAATGGTGCGCCGTGCTCGCCGCTTTGGTTTTCCGTTCTTCCGACAAGTGCAAGTACAGGTACAAGGTACAGGATGCGAGAAAGAGGAAGACAATGGAGAAGCTGCCCTTGAAGAAGGAGCAGTCGAGAAGAGAGTGGTCAGAGATGGGGCAGTCGAGAAGAGAGTAATCGGCGATGGAACAGTCGGAGATGGGGCAGTTGAGGGAGGAGCAGTCCAAGTCAAGGAAGGGGCTCGTGAATATAGAGCAGAGGAACGAGGCCTTGAGGAAGGTGCTATCCAGGAGAGAGCCTCTGAGAGATCCATCGAGGGTGTGGCGCTTCTCGGATGAGGTATGTGACTTCGTTTAGCCGCAAGTGAGGTGAAAAGGGATGGAGGAGATCTATTCAATGAACCCGTAGAGGATCTGCTTCGAAATCCAGGTGTCAACGAAGGCAGAGGAGGCACGGAGTGCGCTGATATGACAGGAAAGTCTGGCGCTGTGCCACACGTAGTGCTAGTGAAAGAAGGGAAGGATGTGAGACACGGTTATTCACGGCTGTACTCTAAGTATTACCTGGATGTATCCGGTGTCTGTGCACGAGCTTGTTCAAGCATCCACGGTGACTGCGAAGAGACTGAGATGAGAGGGTCGAGAGGACCTGATGTCTCAATGGCGCTTGAAGCCCGTGTAGACCACTGCAAGCCGACTGGATTTGACAAAGGTTCGGGTACTATCCAAGTAGATCCAGAGCCTCCTGTATATAAGCTAGGGGCAGAAGCATAGTATTGTTCATGGTATCTTGAAGACGAGGACGGTGCGAGTGCACCTAAGCCTGAGGTTGAGCTTGGTGCCAGTGTGGCCTGGGATGGGGAGCTGGCGGCTGCACGACTTGTAAGTACATTCGGGGTTGTGGCCCGTCCTGTAGAGTTTTGGACTGGTGAAAAGGGTTGCTCCTCTGAATTGTCCATGGTAATATAAGAGTTGCTACACTACTACAGCTTTTTTTCGAGACGACGCGACGTGACACGTCAACGCGGTTGAATGGTTAGACTCAGGTGCCGCCGGTACCACCACGCAGACACGAGCGGCATCCTCTGCCGAATTGCATAAAATGGCCTAACACCGACGCAAATTCCTGAACGTCGACCTACAGGTTTGGGGCCGCACTTGGTAGCAGACCTTGACACGTTGAATACCTTCAACATATTTTTTCAAGGTCTGTCTGTGGGAGACTATAGCTCACAGCGTCAGAGTCCTTGCTCGCTTCAGTCAGAATCCAGGCCTTCAGCATTGGAAAGCGATCAAGCACCTCTTTTGCTATCTCAAGGGCTCTCTCGACTATGAACTCACTTATTCTCTTACTTCTACTTCCTCTACTGAGCTCTTCTACACCTGCACTAACACTGATTATGCAGGGAATCCGGACTCTGGACGTTCCACCTCTGGTGATCTCGTCAAGATGGGCACTGGCACTATTTCCTGGCAATCTCGCCTTCAATCCATCGTCGCCCTCTCCACCACAGAAGCCGAATACGTCGCTGCTACCACTGCTGGCCAAGAGATCCTCTTCCTTCGCAACTTGCTCACTTCCTTTGGTTATTCACTCGACTCTCCCTCTACCCTCTACATCGACAATCAGTTTGCGCTTCAAGTGGCGAAGAATCCGGAGCACCATGGGCGTATGAAGCATCTAGACTTGCGGTTCTATTGGTTGAGAGATGAGTTAGAGAAGGGGACGATCCGGATGGAGCATATAGGGATGGATGAGATGCCTGCAGACCTTCTGACTAATCCCCTGGCTAGGGTCAAAGTGCAGAAGTTTGCGGAGATGATGGGGCTTAGGGCTTGAGGTCTGCCTCATCAGGAGGGGGTGTCCGGAGTATTACGATGAGACAGAGGGAATTTTCCTGATATTTTAGCAATTTTTCCGGGACTGATAGGACCACTTACTGCAGAGTTATGACTTGTAGTTATTCCGCCACCAAGCGGTCCGCAGAGCTCTGGATTCCGTGCCTCAGGATCCGCCGCTCTGCATCCCGTTTAGGCAGTTACTTTTCCATCTGTATAGTAGACCGGTAAGCACCGGAGCACATCCTTTTAACTTGTGGGAAGCGTCCTTGTCTCTTTATCATTGATAGTGACGCTTTCACAGGCGAGTCTTACTATAGATTTTGTCTCTTTCTTTTTTTATCACTTTGTGAGGGCAATATCATTGACAGTGACACTTCTCACAGTCGTTTCTTCAAGTGCTCGATTATCTGTGCCTTACATTTCCAAGAGCTTCTGATATAATGAGGTGTATTGATGAGTTCTACTATCAAATCTAGTGTCTCCCACACCAAGAGGAAATTGGCGGGGTTGTTAGTTGGAACAGCATTTCGTCGGACTTGAACCACGACCTCCCCAGTGCGGGTGGCACCGAGGTGGCCCCTGCCAAACTCAAACTATTCTTTCTTTGCGAGTCTCGTGGATTTTTCAAATAGCAATAAAGCCAAATAGATAAAAGAGAACTGTACATTTGTCTAATCAATTCGAGCAGGAATAGAGCCCTCTCAAGGACCATGCACAAATCTCTCTCGATAACATCTGCTTTGGAGCATTCACAAATAAATGAACATATAAATACAGACGACTCCAGATCAGTCATGTGAATTGGCTCAGAGGAGACAGACTAAGAATTCACAATAAAATTCATCGCATACATCCTTACCGTGGTGAACATGGAGGTAGTGCATGAAAGCGTCGAGCGTAGCGGTGATCTTCAGCATGCTGGCTGACAGTTTCAGTGTGGGCCTTGCGATGCGGTAACGCTGAACATTATCCCAGTTGATCTTTTCAGAAGCACAAAGCAACATGTGTTGTGGATGGCTGTCTCTGGGCTCCTCAAGGATATCGGCATCCACAACTGAAACAGCCACAAGATATTGTGCTACATTAGTAACAAGAACAGTAATATGAGAATAGGCAATATGAGAATAGGCAATAGCTTGAACTCACTGGCTGCCTCAATTTTTCGATTCACCAGGAGCATATTACAACTGGTTTCAGAATGATATGGAATCACAACTTTCGCGTTTTTGGTCAGCTGCAGCATGGCTTCAGGCGGAGCATGCACCGGCACGTAGTTATCCGTATGCTGCACGTGTGGCTCTGAGTGGCCCCATCTCAAACAGAGTCAGAATTATTTATGGTAGGCATGAATATGCCTCTCATATAGTATTTAGCATTAGGATATAAAACTGGGCTCATGATTCATGAGTTCTGGAATATTTAAATAGGTCTATGATGTTCATGGGCACCCAGACGACCTTGCTTGAGAGGGCTTGAGAGCTGTTAGGAGGCTAGACGAGCAAGCACCAGTCAAAATATCCACAACAAAATGAGACTCAAATCATACAAGTGTATTTAAGGCTCCCCAAAAATTGGGACATTGTGGACCACCACAGTAGGTGGGTATCTATTGTTCTTTGCAAAGGTGCCACAGAAAATTGTCACGACCGGGCGATACGGGAGTGGAGATACCCCACGGCTCAAAACAAAAACAATCGGAAAAGCGGCGGATAAAGGTGGTGGAGGGATGAGTATATTAGAAGGCCCAGGAATAGACGATCTACAAACTGAAGAAATACATGCAAGTACTCTAGAGTATTTATACGAGTCCCAGATCACCCAACAGTAAGTAGAATAAAGAGTAAGACGAATAATCAAGGAGGAATCAAAGGGAGAAGACAAATATTCAGACACTAAGTATGTACACTACAGAAACACTTCGAGGTTCATGCAACGAGCTTGTAGCGTGTACGGAGAGGATCCCAGAACAAGACGATCATAGAGAACGAATGATAAAGCTAAGAGGATGGAGAAACTGTTCTAGAGAACAATGGGTACAAGGATACGAACTTAAATGATTATCCTTGATAATTCAGGCACGAAATAAAATCGCAGGACACCGTAGAATAATAGTATGAACCAGTAGGAACCTCTCCATATCAAAACGTCGGCGATTGCGTGGAAACTGGTCGAGCTACACGAGGAGGAACACTATCTGATGGCCCTGAGCGAGGTTGAGACCGAGATCGTGCTGTAGTATATTCCCCAGTGGGCCAATTGCCGAGATTGTTGGATCAATAGAAAGCTTTAGTTTGAGGGAGTCCCCTAGAATTTTGTTCGAAGAGAAACCCCCCAGTATTGCGTCCTGTAGCCTCGTCCGAAGGGGTGTGGAAATCCTAGCGCGTCGGAGTCTGAAACGTTCCACAGGAACCGGCAGCTCGGTGCGAGTTTCCGTAGCTGCAATCGCTCCTTGCGCATGGCTTGAATAAAATCGTAGAAACTCCAGATAAATTGGAGAGTGCTCCTTGGCATGTTGTGGTCCATGTAGGTACTCGGTCCGTTGTGTGTTGATAGGAGAAATGTCGCGGGACACATTTAACAAGGGTCGAGACTTAAGGAATGAGACTCGACGCGCGAGTGCGGGACTTGCCGAGCCGGTTTCCTTATGTGGTCTGTGGGGAGTTCGACGAGGTTCGATGGGCGAAATAAAACGATAGAAATGTTGGGAAAAATCTGGAGGGCTCGTAGAGACTGTGGCGTAAATCGTGGGTGGCGTACGGGAGGGAAAAACATGGAAAATGGATTAAAAATGGCACATATGTGTATGGTACAGGTGGCGGTCATGACAAAAACCACACACAGAGGCACAGGATTTGCCATACCGCCGCATGCTCCACTGATGCCGTGCTGTGGCTGACCGGAATCGGGAAAGTTGGAACGTATCATTCTGAAACCAACTGTAACAAGTACATAGATTATCATAGTCATGAAGAGGGCCGGGTACAGTAGGTTATTGTTGTTTGCACAAGAGTTGGCGGTGCGGCATTTTTCGCCAATTCAGCTGCCACTCCTCCAAGTGAAATAACCTTCCAAGGATTGCTCGTAGATACATACTACCAACATATTTATTATACCATTCAAGTGCCTCTATGTGTCCTAGCAAGCAAAATCTCAAAATCTCAAAATTTCGACTTTTCCTCTGTGACCTACTTGACCTGTGTGGCCCAAGACTGTGAACAAGAAAACAGAAATAGCAAGGCCATACTGCCATCAAATCTTTTAATTCTTGTGTGTATACTAAGATACAAGTGTGTCATCCAATGTCTAGGAGCCATAATCTGGGTATATACCTATATGTCAGCTTCATGCATGAGGAAGTATTGACCGGGTGGTGCCACACAACTGGAAGGCAGGTATAGAATGTTATACAATAATTATAGAATTGAGTTGCGACATTTCGGCTCCAATATTCAACAGTACTAATGTATAGTATACTTGTAGTACATGCATTATAATTTCTGAAAGCAAGATCCCTTTATTATATGTCTTTTCTCGTTCACAGTCTTGGGCCACACGGCCTGGGTAGGTCACTCAGAAGAATCCGCAATTTTTAGATTCTGCTCCCTGGGATACACAGAGGCATTCAAATTGTGCAAGAAATGTATTGGTAGGATGTATTTCCGAGCACTTCTTGGAAAGTTATTTGACTTGGAGGGGTGGCAGCAGAATTGGTGGAAAATGCTGCACCTCCAACTCTTTTGTAAATAGCAATAATACACAGATATTTTTCCCTCAAATTGAACTGCAACAATTTGCTCAATACCCCTGCTGGCAGTGTTCTTGGGGGTAAGTGATGCATAAGCGTCTGTTGGGCACCCAAATCAGTACACACGCCAACACTATTGCACAGAGATCTTGACAAGATATCTTTCAGTCATGGCAACTGGAAAAAGGCTTTTTTGATTGACATATCTATATTGTCAGACATGGCAGTATTTTATATTTTGTTCATATTTACCAAGCCTCGTGTTCTCGCCACATCCTTCCCGCTCTCGACAAGTTTTATTTAACTGACATTTAATTCCGCTTTTATTCTCGCCACATCTCGTCTTGTCTCTTTCTCGTCTCAGCTATTCTTGGCTTTACTCCTATTATCCTTGTTATTTGGGTCTCTCCGGAATGTCTCAGTTTGGTTACCATAAATACTCGCCTCCCTGCTCCCTCTGTTCTCTCATCGGTCAACGTCAGTAGCATTTCTACCTTAATCACTTCTAATCTAATCTTGTGCTTATTGGCCTCTTCCCTCAGCTCTGCCTCCTAACCTTGCCCATTACACTTGGGATGCTCGAACGTTTGCTCCATTCATAGAGCCTGAATCATAACAAGAAATAACTTGTAGCCAGCCAAATACCACAACCGTGCTTGGTGAACAGACTGCATGAAATCAATATGGTACAAATAGGAAATAGGTCAAACTTGCCAGTGAATAAAAAGGAACTGAATCACAAAAACAAAATGGGAGAGGACTAAGACTTCTGTTGTTGTGGCAAAATTCCTGAATGACAAGCCAGTCTACCCAATCGTCCTGACGATGGTTGGCATAAATGTGGAGGAAGGCTTCAATTTCCTGGTTCGCTCGCTCGATCTGGCCATCTGTCTGCGGGTGTGCCACCGTAGATGGATTGTATTCTATCCCGAGGAGTTTATAGAGCTCAACCATCACCTCGGCAATAAATTGAGGGCCTCTATCGGATATGAATTTCTTGGGCAGTCTGTGGTGTCGGAATACATTGTCTCGGAGCATTTTGGCAACATCCAATGCAGTAACCTTCGTTGTACAAGGCATGGTATGTATTCTCTTCAAATATAGACATACCACAACCAATATCACATCCATCCCCTTAGATTCTGGCAGGGGTCCAATGATGTCCATTGATACGGATTCCCAAGGTGCTGATGGAACGTCGTGGGGAGAGAGAGGTATTTTCCTGGGTCTATGAAGAGGTTTGTTCTGTTGGCACAAGGCACACCCATTGACATACTTCTTCACATCTCTAGATATTCCGGGCCACCAATAGTCACGCGTGAGGAGCTCGAGCGTCTTATGCTGACTTGGGTGTCCAGCCAAAGGTGCGTCGTGGTACATTCTTAGAAGTTCTTGTCTAAGTCGGCCATCTTTTGGTACATATATTCTCCCTTTTCACTCGACTACTCCGTCGGTACGTTCTTCCCATTCCTTATTCTTTGCCCCTAACTCTCGATCTACGAGCTTGTCACGCCGCCCCGCGGCTTTCTTGATTCATTCATAAATACTCGTAAAGGACTGGGTCTGCATCTCGACTGCTCGTTGCGCTAGACGACGGAAGTGTTCTGGCTTAAGGACCGTTACATTTTTATTATATGTTTCTCCTTTGTTTAAATCTGGGTGTCGTGTGATCACGTCAGATTTACCCATTAGGGAGCCAGGTTTATGATGTAGCAAGTAATTATAGTCCTGGAGCTCTTGGAACCATCTGGCCTACTGCCTATTGAGTTTCTGAGGCTCTCTAAAGTATTCGAGATTTTGGTGATCCGACCATATCTCGAAGGGAGTCCCAGTGTCCAATAAATACTGTCTCCACTCTTCGAGAGACGAGACTACAGCCATCAATTCCTTGTTGTATATTTCGTAGTTCCTCTCGGTCTCATTGAGGGACTTAGAATAATACGCCAAGGGATGCCATTTCTCTTCTTAAAGCTGGGACAGCACGGCTCCTAAGGCAAAGTTGGAGGCGTCACATTTGACGCGCAGTGGTAGGTCGTTTTGGTATACCGATAGGACTGGACTGGAACAAAGGGTGTTTTTCAAAAGGTCAAACACTTTTTGTTCTTTGTCTCCCCAGTTAAAGTCGACATTACCCATGAGCTGGGTAAGTGGGCGTGCAATCTTAGAAAAGTCTTTGATAAATCGCCGATAGAAGTTACAAAATCCCAAGAATTGTTGTACTTCTTTCTTCGACTTTAGCGTGGGCCAATCTGCTATCGCTTGTGTCTTCTTGGGATCCATTCGGATTTTGTGGTGTCCAATAATCATACCGAGGAACGGGATCTCGGGTTTACAAAACTCGCACTTGGAAACCTTGAGCGAGAGTTTGTGCTTCGATAGGAGACTTAGAACCTGTCTCACTATCTCCCAGTGTTCTTCTTCGGTCTCCGTGAAGATTAAAATATTGTCCATGTATACAATTATTTTTCCCTTCTCGATGAGCTCCTTAAAAGATATTGTTCATCATTTTTTGGAACATTGCTGGAGCATTGCACATTCCAAAAAACATGACTAGAGGTTCAAAGAGTCCACAATTGGTCAAGAACGCGGCCTTCCATTCGTCGCCGTCTTTGATACGAATGTTAGTGAAGCCCCATCGGATATCCACCTTCGAAAAGAACTTCGCGCCCTACAATTTGTCGAGTAGTTCGCCAATGAGTGGGAGAGGATAACAGTTCTTAATTGTCATCTTGTTCAGCTTCCTGTAATCCTGTACAGGTCGAAGGGAGCCGTCGGATTTTTTTCTAAAAAAGAATGGGGATGACATGGGGGACTTGGACTCGCGGATCTGACCATTTCGTAGATTTTCGTCTAGGAAATCATCAAGCTCCTGTTGCTGAGACTTCGGAACAGGATACAGCTTAGCTTCCGAGGGACTGAAGCCAGGTGTAAGTTCGATTGCGTGATCCCAAGGTCGTCAATCAGGTAACCGTTTGTTGTAACCCGGTTCTCCAAACACAGACCAGTAGTCTCGGATTTCCTTGGGTAGGCTCGCTGCTAAGTCCTTCGCAAAATTGCTGCGCGATTCTACGTCCTCCCCTTGCTGTCTCATGGACCTCTGGTAGCTCTCTTCGTTGCACATAAATATACGATCTCCAGTCTCTAACTGGTCTTCGTCTGTCTCCTCCCTATCCTTCTCGATTTTCCCTGTACTCTTTTCCCGCTCTACCTCATCTTCATTGTCCTCCGGATTAATAGTACGAGTATAGTATCTACAAGACTTAGGGCAACGTGTAAAGTGTAACGTATGGTGAGTCCAATCAATCTCTGGATTATGGAAGTCTAACCAGTTGAATCCCAAATATAAGCTGTGTCTATCTAGCTGTACAATCACAAACATTAGTTTTTCTGTGTGATCGCCAATGGAAACACTAAGCTCGGTTACCCGAGTAATCAGACCCACTGCATTTTCAGTGCTGTCAGCATTAACTGCCGGGATCGGTTTATCGAGAGGCCAAGTAGGTAAGTTATGCTTTCTTACGAAAGCCTCGTCGATAATACTACTGGTGCAACCGGAATCTAATAGGGCCGTTGTACAAATAGTCTTCCCAGTCAGTGAAAGGTCTTGGAGCCGTACTGGGATGTCTAACTGGTTCGCCCCGGTTCCTATGATTATTTTCTTAGCTCCTTTCCATCATCGGGTCGTTTCTGATTTTTCTAGAAGGGTTTTGGCGGCGGTTTTTTGATCAGGAGAGAATGGAGATTCAATCAGAGTAGGTAAAAAAGGTAAAACAGGTAAGATGGGAGTTGAATCCCCAGTCAAAGCCGAGAAAAAATCAGGAGTTGCGTCCTGCTTCCACTCAGAGAGCAGGGCTATTCTATCGTCGAACGAAACATCAGAAACTGGAGAAAGAGATTGAGGTAAGTCGCAAGATGGAGGTACAGAAAAATTTGAAGCATGTATCATAACAGGGTCGTCATCAGGGAAAAATATCTCGGGATCTATGCAGTCTTCTACTGACCATGGGCAGTCGTAAAAAATAGGGAACCTATCAAAATGAACTGAATGCTTCAATGAAGGTGCATTCAAGGGAGAGAAAGAAGAACAAAGTGAAAGAGGAGAGAAATAATTTGATCGGTAAGTTGAGAGGACCGCCTGCACTCTCAACTTTGGGGAAAATCCACATCTAGTACGTCCAGCAGCTTCCCCCTGTCTCTGTCACTCAGCGTATGAACAGCGGCTCTAATCCTCTGACTCCTCGACTCGCAACGGTGTCCCGGATCCCACTTCTTTCCACAACCAAAACACTCACCGGCTTCCTTGCACTTTTTGTACTCGGTGTCTGGGAGCATTGCTCGAGAGGTGGGTGCTGGGGAGGGACTACGGAATAGGGTGGGTGAAGCGGGCCTTGGGGGATTATTAGAAGGGCCCGGAGTCGGTGGACGAGGCGGAACAGAAGGAACATAGGAAGGGTTAGGAGCACTTGGTCGATACCACGAGTGGGAAGGAGAGGTAGGTCTATTTCCATATCCTTGGGCGAGTCGTTTTGTCTGCTCGCGGTTGTCCCATCAGATAGCGGCTTGCTTCTAGGCATCGTAAGTAGTGGGCATGATCTCTTGTCCGTATATTGTGTCGATGATCCTGCTATTGACGTTCTCCTTTACCTTCTCAATAACCATCTCGTCGTACTGTCGTCCCTGCTATCTCGCGATCCTCCTCCACAAATCTAAGTTCTGGAAGTACTCGGCAGCAGTCTGGGCTCCTTGCTTCGAGTACATAACCTTTTGTCTAGCCTGCCCTCGGGAATCTAAGGTTTTGTAGTCTCGTTTCAGAAGGTGTATGAAACAGAACCAGTCTGCTTTGGTGACTCCTGCCTTGTGTTTTTCCTGCGGGAGCTCTAGCTTATCCGTGTCGGGGTTGTATGGGTAGTCGAGATCTACGGCGTTGTCTGGATCGGAAATATAATTTTGTTTCCAGGACAATACGGCCCCTCGGAAGAACAACAGGACATATTTGATGCGGCGACGGTAGGACTGGAAATATTTCGGGTTTGCTCGAATATTATCCAGGGCCGAAGTCCAGAACTCATCCCAGTTAGATCCATCGAAGAGTGGAGGTTTTGCGACGTGTTTGTTTTCCTTAAACTCGGCGGGGTTATCTCCGGTATACGTTCGGTGAGTATGGTTCAACATCGTACTATTGAAAGTGAAGTGTCCTGATGAGTTATCGTTGTTGCCTCCTCCGTTGTCTCCTCCATCGTTACTGGGATCATCATCGCCTCCTCCTTGCTTAGGCTTTGCCTTGATCTGTCTGCTATCACCCGGTCTTTGGTTGATTCTAGGTGTTTCTTCTCCTTCTCGTAGGTTTCCTGCTACTTCCTGCTCATCTTGGTTGCTCATCATATCAGTACGTGGGGCTTGGGTATGTATTCTTGTCTGGGCCCACGGTCTGAGTCGGCATAGGGCGAGCCAGAGATGAGTTAGGAAGTTTGGGGATGATGGGAGAGGGTGTTCTAGGGGGCGTAGAAAGGGGCGTAGAAGCATCTCTGGTTGTTGGAACTCGCTCTCCAGGGGGTGAGATATATTTCCACCCTTCGTCAAAATAAACCGGGTAGGAATTTTCAACGGCTTGGACTAGAGCTCGACCGGGTGTGATGCGAGTGCACCAAAAGGATCGATCGGGATCCCAAACTCCGTAGGGTGGTGTAGGGACGTCCGGGGGTAAAGTCTGGGAGTAAGTCGTGTTTGGTTCAGAGACGCGAATGGTGTTACTGAGGTAGGTAAAATACTCGTCCGCTCCTCTTGATGGTTCACACTTTAATCTTCTATCTCCTCTAAAGCCGTCCTGGTCGTAGTAAGTGTAGTAGTATTCGTTCTAGGTGTCGTGTCAAATATACCACGGTAACACCAGATTGAATAGCTACGAGCTTTGTTCGAGAGATGAAAATTGTTTGAGGAGTGAAGAATAGATAATGGGAGGTGAAGAATATTGATCCAAGGTCTTGAGGCGTCGAACTCTCCTAGCGAGGCTTGTGCGCAATAATTACGACAGCCGAGTAGCCGTAATCAGAGGCCGAAGTCAAATGATGAAAGGAGAAATGAATAGGAGAGTTGACAGCGGGTCCAGCGATGTTCTTCGGCAAAGTAAAACTACTTCAGGCTAAATGGCGTAGGTAACGGAACACAAAGGGTGCTACAGTAGGTGAGGCGAGAGCAGTTGTAAAGCCGATAGCCCCTGGTTTGAGCAGGCAGACTAAAGTGCAACCGATTGCAGAGGGCTACTCTGGACAGTCAACCGAACTCTACAAGCCACTATAGACACGCCCGGGTATATGTGTTCACCGGGTCGCTCCTAAAATGTGTCTTGCGACGTTCGAAAGTGAAGCGAAAAGGAAAGATGATTTTATAGTAGACGCGAGAAGTAGAAGAATGTGTTCTAAGGTAATGAGGGCCTTAGAGATGGCACTTCTTGCAGATGCAACGAAGCATCAGATCAGTGCGGCACCGGGTGAAGGTAGGAGCTGGCGTTGAAGCTACGGTGGAAAGTGAGGGTTCTGGTTCCGGGGAGGGATATTGAAGGAGTTGGGAGAATTGTTCGTCGGAGGTGTCCTCTTCTTTGATAGTGACTTGCGACGCATATGGATGAGAGGCGATTGGGGTGATGAACGGGGTGTAGGATCCGTCAAGGACGTGTCGGTAGACAAAAGTGGTTGCGAGAGGATTGGAGGGTAGATTGGGAACGTGGTGGATGATGAGAAGTGCAAGTAGTTTGGCGGGGGTGGGTGCAGAGAAGGAGTAGTAGAATGTATATGTAAGAGGAGTTGGGGATGATCTCGAGGACATATAACAGACAATGAAAAAATGCGGGAGGGGTGGGGTAGGAGTTTCCAGATAATGTCACGACCGGGCAATCAGGGAGTGGATAAAACCCCACGGTTCATGACGAGTTTAGAGAGGCTGAGACGAAAAGGGAGGGAAAGGAACATATTGAGCTAAATAGAAAGCCAGGGAATTGACAATCTGGAAACTGAGGGAATACATGCGAGACGTCTACACTATTTATACTAACTGTTCTGTGCTGTAGCAAAGGGACTTGAGACTTGGAAGAAATATTTGTAGAGCGATATCTCTAAGTGCTGAGTAAGTAAAAAGTGCCCATTGTTGTACACTACTAGAAGACCAAGAAAAATAGTAGGGAAGGTCGCAGCGTGTCGCCCAAATAAGAGAATCGAGCAGAACACCAACGAGTAGAAAGAAAGTAGGTAGAACAATTATCAGAACAATGGGCCATTTGGCTGAGTAACTGGATGAGTAAGAAAAGCCGTGAATCAATGATAAGAGCCTCCGAAATAATCATATATCTTTGCAAACACGTAGTACGATCCAATACCTTCCTCCCGATACCCAATACCCAATATTCGAGTGGAGGACGGGTGAGGCAAACGACCAATTCTCTTATCAGATGGCCCTGACACGGGTTATGCCTGAAACTCGTCATTGTTGAACAAGGACTTGTTGGAATATTTGGTGCTATATCCAGGATGCTCGTGAAGGGTCTATAGAACATGTACATATTTTATTTGGACTGAAAATACGCTCTGTGGAATATCCTAGAGGCATTGCAAGGAGGAGGATAACTGGCGGATCGGAGTCTGAATCGTTCTACAGAACCGGTAGGTCGGTGCGGCTTCCTGTGGTGGAGCTTGAACGTCCCGCGACTCTTCAATAAAATCGTAGAAGGTCCAGATAAATTGGAGGAGTGTCCTTGACCACTCAACTCCATTATCTCCCTCGGCCGACCTTAGGTCGTTAGGAAAAATGCCACTAGACATAATTCCTACGATGGGGGAGGATAGGAATTTTGGTCGACGCGCGTGCGGGTACTTCCAAAGAACTTCTCACGCTGGGTTCTTGGTGACTTGAAAGCATTGCGAAGGTGAGGAAAAACAATAGAATTGTGGGGAAAATTCTGAGGGTGTCGAGAAGCTTATGCGTCCTTGTGTGGGTGGTACTCGGGCACAGAAATGTACATAGAAATATAAAAAATAGGAAGAATGTATTTGGGGAGCATAGTTCGGGTGGCGCTATGTGGCGTGTCATGGCGGCGGTCATGACACTCTCAGCATCAGGAAATCAGGAATCTGCTCACACAGATATCAGACATCAATGTTGGTATCATATTGACTTTATCTCTGAGAGCGCAAATGTGATATATATCAACCCCCCAATATAGCATGGATATCATATCAGAGATATCTCACATAGCTTTAATAGCTCTCAGAGCTCTCATAGCTCTCATAGCTGTAATATCTGTATTTTCACAGAAATAGTTATATCCACACCATATTTGGGTTGTCATTCACTCATACCAGACACAGAGAGAGAAATGTAGTATATTGCTTCAAAAAAAGTACAGTACTGACATAAACTACATTACAAAAGACATGAAATATATATACTTCCCCTTCCCTGAACACTCCTTCTTGAATGCCTGCACACACTACATCATAAAGCAATAACAAATTAGCTACTGAACAAACAGGTATAGTATAGAAAAAGATACATACCTTATGAAGTGATATTTGAGATATACCTAGAGTATAGAAGTCAGATACAGGCTATAGCAAAAGAGAGAACTAGATAACTTACCATTCATAGCACAAGCCTATAATGATCTGTAGTATAGAGATAGTCAGATGTGCATACATATATGATGATAGAAGAGACTTACAGAAAGACTGAGAGAAAATAAATGAAGCCTGACCAATAGCAGAGGCGAAGAAGATGAAAAGACAGAGAGAATATAAGTACAAGAAGACATAGCCATGAAAGAAGGAAACTCACAGTATAACAGAAATAGAGTACATGAGTTGGAGAGGAAGTGTGGAACATAGATATGCTATGTGGATAAGGATGTGATGGTGGAAGGAAGAAAGGAAGTTGAGTAGGTGAAGCAAGTAACACGCGTCACTTTTGAACAGAGACCAAATATGTACAAACATAGTGATGTGGCACTATTATGTGGCAACCAAGTGGCAACAGAAGTGTACAAACATGGAACAAATAGAAAAAGGTACAAAACAACTGAGTAACAGAACGTACCTTGTTCTAGCATCATACTCCTGAAAGCTAGATAGGGAGCTAGACTAAATAGTTAGGGGAGAAGGCTCTGGCCAAAGTGTATTGAGTGTGCTGAAGTACACTGTGATGCAATAAGTATTTTCTGAGATCAAAACAAGCAGTCAGACATGAACCAACTCCAGAGCCATTTACTACTCACCAAATAGACACTATGTCAGTCCCAAATTACACTCTCAGACATCTTCAAAAGTAGATCGCAAGCAAATTTTAGCCAGACAAAGGAACAGGCAAGAGTGGACAGAGCAGGATGGGCTGGGCAAAAGGAGCTGAAATGTACAGAGAACATAACTTAAGATGCAGAGAACTGGCTAATAGAAGAAAGCAAGTGAAGAGAGTAAGAGGAAAGTGAAGGGCAACCCTTGTTGAAGAGACTGGAGATGCGCATTTGCACAAGTCAGTGTCACCTGTCACAGGTGTCACACTTTTGCTGAAGCCTCAGCAAATTGGGCCACATTGTGGCACCAGATGTGTCGTCTCAAGTGAGTGTCATGTCTTACTATATAAAGTAATGAATGGCTCCCTTTTGCTGAAGTGTCAGCAAATTGGGCCACACTTGTGGCACTTGGCACATCTGGACTTATGCACAGATAAAGATGAGGATAAGATATATCACTATTATGTAGGTAAGATAGTAGTATACAGGCTGATAGTAGATCATATGAGGTGCTATGTTAGACTCTGGGTAGGGGGACGACAGAGTGAACAGGAAGGGAATGAGGGCTGATAAAAATGAGGGAAAATGCGAAAATAATAGGTAAAATGTTAGGGTAGATATACCAGGTACTGGGCGAGGGATTGGTAGGGAAAATGAGGTGCTATGGGGGTGTTTTGGTAACTTTCTGAGTTTTGAGAATCAAGATGAACTAATGTAATTGCTGGGTGTTGTTTGAATGAAAATAGGGTATAAAAGGGTGAAAAGAGGGTGTTAGGTATTGTGGCCAAAAACACATCTTTTGGAGCATATGAGGGCTTGATAAACATCTATAAATTAAAGTCATAAGATAGCAATCAAATTTAGACAAATCCATCCATGTGTTCCCAAGATATGGACCTAGCTAAGTGGGGAATATTTGACCTTGGGGTGGCACTAGTGTGATCCTGATGAATAATGGTTGGATTTTGTTCTTTTTGGGCTTGATGGGTAGTGTAGCATCCAACAGTCATGTGAATGCAAACCTCATGTCAATACCTGGGCAACTCATTAAATGGTTCGCTGACAAATAGGGGGAAGGAGGAGGAGGACATGGATGAGGGGCCCTGCATAAGTGTATATGTGGTATTCTAGGCTAATGTAAGACATGGATGGGATACATGTGAACTAGGAAGAATATTCCATGGTGAGAGACCAGTGGAAAACACCCTGAGTGATCATTGGGAAGAGGTGAGGATATTTGAACATTTGGGCCACAATCTATTCATGGAATCAGTTCAGGTGGCGCTTCAGGGCTATATAACAATTCGTCTAAAATATATATGATGAAGTTCCAGTATAGCAAATGTCCCAGATAAGTCTATGAGGTAGTCAAACAAGCAAAATACAGAGAGCAGGAAATAAAATCGAATATTTTAGCCCAATTTGACTTCTTACCAATCAAATAGGTCTTTTAATGTCTGTAATATCATTCCATATATCTCAGTCAATTTATCATTTATTTATCCAGCCCTGAAGCGCCATCTAAGCTGACTCCATAATAAATTGTGGCCCAAATGTTCAAAGATCCTTACCTCTTCCCAATGATCACTACTAGTAGTACATCCCGCTAGAATGTCTCTGCTCATCTCCAAGTCGTCACTGTGCCCCATGAACGTGGCGAATTTCGCTCAAGATTTCGCCATTGGTTGTGGCCAGGGCATGCCACGAGTACCAGGACCCGTGAGTACCTGCAATGGATACTCGTAAGGCACACCATCAGGTACCTGTATCTGTGGATACAGATACTCATTCCCACGGGTGGATGCACGGATACAGGTGTGAGCTTTTCAGCTACAGGTAACCGTGAGAGTACCTGCCATATTTGGTATTGAGATGCCGGAACTTGCCACAGGCTGAATGCGTGTATAGCAATGTTCTCCTCGCTCTCTTCACTCTTCCCCGAGCACACACCACTGTTGGACAGAGAAAACACGTCGTGTTCCTGTCAATGGTGGTGATGCTCAATCTGTGTACTTGTGTGTATGCTGCTGTGGTAGGTCCTCGGATGAATGGGTGTCCAGTCTGAGCACCCCCTCGGCCCCTCCTACTGCCAAAATGTTCGTTCTCACTCAATTTTGCCTGGATTCCTAAGGTCGCGGGCTCAATCGACACGTCTCGATGCCCCACATCGGCCCCTGTATTTCGTTTGACGGGAATTGGCCCACTCGTCGTTGAAAACGACGATTTTGACCCGGTGAGTACCTACTACCTCCTCAAATCGTATTCATGCTCGTTCTCATTCAATTCCCCGTACGTTTACAATGTCGCGGGCTCAATCGACGCGTATTGATGTCCCTCATCGACCGCTGTCTTTTGTTTGACGGGATTCAGCCTGCTCGTCGTTGAGAACGTCAATGTTGACCCGGTGAGTACCTCCTACCTACTCAAATTGTATTTTTGCTCGTTTTCACTCAATTCTGCGTACGTTTCCAATGTCTCAGGCTCTATCGACGCGTATTGACGTCACACATGTGCCCCTGTATTTGGTTTGACGAGATTCGGCCCACCC